TCTGATAGCTGTGAAGGAATTTTTCCATGAATCATTTATATCCTTTATTATGTTTGGACTCCCACAATGTTGTGTGTTTGGTTCTCTAACAGTTCTGGACGCATCCTCGAATTTCAATATTGGTGACTACGACAAAGATAAAGTGAGACACCTTTCTGTGGTGAGCTGAAGTGAAACGAACACCTGTATTTCTGAGGTTAATAACTGCATGAAAGGCATCAGTGGAGCTTGTTTTGCCCAGCGTTTACACATTTCCTATTATATCCGAGTTTCTGGAATGCTTTCATGAATAAATGGATAAAATCATGTCCAATGTCTGCACTGGACTGGAGGAGGAGTCCTGTTTATTGATGAAGCTAGGAGTGTAACTGAACGTCACTATCCGTGTCTGTTTCTCTATCAATTTAGTGCTCAAATGATTTGTATCAAGGCTTATTTACACTTATGCAAAAATCCATAAAAACAGGGCAGAATGAGTTTAAACAGTGCTCAACCTGAGCTAGAGCTAGCGCAAATTCAAATGGAGATGTTTGTTAATCGGCTAGCAGAAGAGGTGCGGCAATAAAGACATTAATACAGTATGACCATCTTCAAAATATTACCAAATACAGCAGAAGTACTGTATATTCAGCACGGAAAAATCGAGTGAACTGCACTGCTGATATTGCCCTTGGTGACTTCTGAGGGTCTCTCATATGCTGTCTTTCAAGGAAATCTCCAACAGTGATCACCTAGGCTTCTAGGTGTGTCCTACAGAGAAAAGCAGGAAAGGAGGGGGCGGGGCTTATGATGTACGTGCCCTCATGCTCAAATGTTTGCTTCTGAATTTACTTATAAATTCTGCAGGATTATTTTGTCGTTGAAGTCAAATCTTGACTTGGCAATCGTATCAAACCTGAAAATATCGTTAGCATCTTTACACCTCACTAATTATTCATCTGTTCAGAATGTGAGTCAACATCCTCATTTGTTGTACATTACTAACAATATACATATTTTTGCTGGCCAAAGAAAAACAAGTATCTTCATTATAGTCAATTTTGAAGCAAAAAATATTCTTAAATTTGGTCACACTTTATTTGGATGGTCCCCTATAGATGCTCTACAGCTAACTAAATCATTAACAAACTTTCTGGTGATCCTCAGTTGATTATCAACAATGTTATGGTAAGGCTTAGGGTTAGGAGTAGACGTAGGTTTTACCTTGAGGTTAGGGTTAGGTTTAGGTTTAGGGTTTAGGGATAGATTTAATAAACACTTCCACACTGAACTTCAAGTTCAATTGAATTTAATGGATATTTAGTTGAATGTTATTGAAAGGCAGACTGAGCATTTACAAAGCATCCATAGTGAACCATCTAAGTTACATTCAACTTCAGGTTCAGTGGCATTTAATGACTATTCAGTTGAAGTTACTTAAATATATACTGAACATTTACAAAGAATCTATGGTGGACCATCCAAATAAAGTGTTACCTTAAATTTTAAAATGTACATTAATGTAAAGAGGTTTTATACATTTCTGTTGGTCCATTCATTGTGAAATTTTCACACAATGTAGATCCCAGCCTTCATATTAAAAGAATAAAAATCAACAAAAATGGATTGATGATACGTGCTGAGCTGAGTGATGTGGTGCACTACACACAGTGAATTTCCTCTTTATGGAGTGCGTTTGTTTCTATGGAGTGATAGTGGGCGGTTTTAACTGGGCAATGTTAAACTGAAATGGTAGTTATCAGCACATTGGATCAATCTGTTGGGTTTGCCTTTAGCGGAGATGTTGATCCCAGAGCAGTTTTTCTGTGGTGGAGTTTCCTCCAGCTGTTGTGACAGATGAGGAGAGGCTGCAGGACAGGAAGAGAGAGCTGTGTTACAGGAAATGACATGAATGAGAGGTGAAGAGAGCAGAGAGGATGAGCTGGGAAAAAGAGGAGAGAGAAGCAGCAGGAAAAAAGAAAAGAAAAACGGGGCCAGCTATAGTTTACGTAACGACTGCAGCGCTGCAGAGTTCTCTCTCTCTCTCTCTCTCTCTCTCTCTGTCTCTCTCTCTCTCTCTCTCTCTCTCTCCGTCTTCCTGTTCTACTGTGTGATCAGTGATCAGCGCTGCTGACCTTAGCCAGAGGAACAGGACATGATCCAGACAACTGACCACTCCATCCCCCCTTAAAAAAAATACACATGCACTGCATGCATCCTCCGCTTCTTTTGTTTCCGTGGGAAACGCTTATGTTTACTCCACAGAGTGCATATGCACACATGCACATACACAGTTAGGAAAAATATTAGGACAGGGTCAGCAGAATTACATCTATTTAAAGGAAAACTCCAGTGATTTTCAGCTCAATCTGCTTCTGAACTGAGTGATTACCATGGACAATAATTTCAAAGCATTTTCCTTTACTTCAACAAGAACAGAACGCATTTATAAAGGAAGTCAACGGGCAGATGTGGTGTTCAGGTGGTCATTTTCAATGTTTACCAAAAGAAGAAATTGTGCGATTTATTATTATTTCGACCTCATATTCTTGGTCTTTGCTCATTTTCCATGAAGAACATATAAAATAACCCATTTTCAGTGTCTTCACTCTGTTCACCCCCACACATTTATATTACATTATGTGGTGTTGGGGTGAACCAGCGGGGAGTAAAAGTGTGGAGGTGCTGTGTCCTTCATTCTGTTCTCCTCGTACATGGCCTGCTGTTAGTGTGTGTCTGTGTATATGTTTGTATATGTGTGTGTGAGATGGTGAACAACATGGACAGGCTGCTGACTGGCTACAGCTGCTAAAGTAGAACCCTACGCTGGACACTTGTGATATTTTAAACATCTGGTGTTTATATATAAATAGTTTTGGCTGTATTGATTTAAAACAAAACAATAATGCAGTGGGTTCAGCAGACCACTGAGTAACAAACATATCAACACCTCAAAGGGGTTTAGTTCATCAATGCAGGAAGAAAACCTATTGACATGAAACATACTTATAATAGAGGTCAATGGGCAGATGCTGAAGTGAAGCGACTACATGCTTGATGAAATGAAGGATTTAATTTTCATCTTCTAGATGATGTTCATATTTCCAGGTAAAGCGGTGCAATGTTTTTTAAAAAAAAAGCCACAGCATGAAGTTTGAGTTTTACATTACGTTCACGTCACGTCTTCTTCTGTGAGTTTATTGGCTGGTTGTAAAGCAGAAATCTGATTACTGTCTGACTCACGTAGACCAGGAGTTTTCCTGTTACCTGATTACTCAAGCGCATATAAACGCGTTGATCAGATTACTGACAAAATCAGATTTTCTGCAGTTATCGGATTATTAAGTGCATGTAAAGGTACTTAGTGTCTCTCAGAAAAGAAATCATTTTTATGTACTACCGTTCAAAAGTTTGGAATCACTTTATATCACTAATATTAGTCATTTATGGAATAGTAGCCGTCTGTGTCGTCTGCTTCTGTATTGTATGAAGCAGTTTGGATTGAAAAATAGTGGAGAAAAACGTATGAGCTTGAAACGTACTTATAAAAGTCAATTTCCTCCAGTCTCTGCGCTTTCAATGTCCAGAGTACAATCAATAACCAAACAAGCTAGCTAGTGAAACTATTGTTAGCTCTGTTTTCCCTTCATGATGTGTTATCTAGGGTGGCGCAGTGGGTGGCGCTGTTGCCTCACAGCAAAATGGGGCTGGGTTTGATTCCCTGACCGGGCAACCAGGATCCTTTCCAAGTGGAGTTTACATGTTCCAAAGACATGCAGTCAGGTGAATTGGAGATGCTAGATTGTCACTATTTGTGACTGTGTATATCTACCCGGTGAAGGCCTGGTGACCTGTCCGTAGTGTTTTCCTCCTAGTGACCACTGGGATAGGCTCCAGTGTCTTCTGTGACCCAAGAGGATAAGCGGCTTAGATTGTGTGTGTGTTATATGTTATCTGTACATGTGGAATTTTGGGGGGACTTTTTAGCCATGCTAACTTACATCCATGGACTAACAAGAGGCCTGTTGTCCATTGGACAATGTCCACAAGCACAGCATCAGCCCCTGCTTTGAGCTCTGCCTTCACGAGGTGTTGGACTGGTTTAGAGAATTCTTGCATGTTTCCGCCCTAATAAGTTTGTATTTCCTCCCATGTTTGGCTCAAAGTTGAGATGGCTGATCTCACTAGGAGAGCATCTGGTCCTATGAGACCACTAAAGCAGTAGAGATTAGGTTAAAAAACTCCAGAATATTCCTTTAAAGGAGATGTACACCAGTGTCTGAGTGATTATTTTTCATCCGTTTTCCAGATGAGCTTCGATTTGCTGAGCAAACAATACATGATTGTACTGCTCTGTGCTTACTTACTGTCTCTCGCCCTCTCTCTCTCTTTGGGTTAGTGGAGCAGTGATGTTCTTCTAAAGGCTAATCCACATGCTGCATAATCGTCCTCCGTTCTTCGTGCCTACTGCGGTATGAAAATGAGAGATATTGCTCTCTCTCGCTGTCTTACTCTCTCTCTCTCTCTCTCTCAGCATTGGATTTAGAGGAAATTAGGTCATGTTGGCATTGAGAGAGATATAATTGAGTTTGTGCTTCGATATTGCTGCAGATCCGCTATGATCTTCACTCATATTTTACTTTATAAAGCTGATGCTCATAAAAGGATATATTTCCTTCACAGGCTGGTGAAATCAGGGTAGTTTTTTTTCCCTTTCTTGCTGCTGGAAATAACGTGTGGGATTGTAAGCGAGTTAGCGCTTTGGTGAGCGTGTACATGTGACCTTCTGCACTATGCTCTCCGCACAGGGCTTTATTCTTCTTTACCTTAGGCCATGTGTGTTCTGTTGTTTCGTGTTTGTGTGTGGGTCGTATTCCTCTATTTTTAGCTTCAAACACTGTAGTACAGTTCTCTTCTCCTATAGAACTCTGCTCTTTTCTCTCACAGCCCTTATTTAAAGATTTATAGGAGTGTCTTCTCTGAGCTGAAGGCTTATCCGCAGTTCTTTTTTCCCTCTATAGATCCTCGCACGAGTACAGCAGCTGTGTAAGACCATGAGGTGTGTGAACAGAGACGAGCCGCTGTGGAGACCCCAGTGATGCCAGTGTTGCACTTCAGGTACTTTATCATCTTTATACACAGAGATCGTACATACAAACTGTATTAAGACAAGACGCCACAGGCCAAAATCACGACTTTGGTCTTGTCAATCATTTTTTCTGTGTTTTTGGATGAATAGCATCTATAGCATATCTTTTAGTCAATTCACAGGCTTCTGTATTTAACTGTATTTTCCAAAACTTTAATGAAGGCGTAGCTCCACCCACACTCGGCACAGCCACGTTGTACCACATATCACTGATAAACTCATTTCATGTAGAATCTAGCTTGAATATCCATATACACCCCATTTCCAAAAACATTGGGAGACTATGCAAAATATAAATAAAAACAGGATGCAGTGATGGGCAAATCCTTTAGACCCTACATTTAACTGAAAATAGTACAAAGACAGTAAATCAAAATTTAAAACTGGAAAATTTTATGTTTTAATTTCAATTTGATGCCAGCAACATTTTTCAAAAAGTTGGGATGGGGCAACAAATTTGGTGAAGTTGTGTAATGCTAAAAAAACACCTGGTGGTTGATTGGCAACAGATCAGTAATATAATTGAGTGTAAAAGAGCATCTCAGAGAGGCGGAGTCTTTCAGAAGTAAAGAAGGGGAGGGGTTCACCACTCTGTGAAAGACTGTGCAGGCAAATAGTGCAACAATTCAAGAATAACTTTTATCAACGTAAAATAGCAAAGAACTTAGGAATTAGCATTAAAAGATTCAGAGAATCCAGAGAAATCTCCATTTTCAAGGGACAAGGTTGAAAACCAATGCTGACTGGTTGTGATCTTTGGGCCCTCAAGCAGCACTGCATTAAAAACAGATATGATTCTGTAGAGGAAATCACTGCATAGGCTCAGGAACACTTTCAAAAGGCTGTGAACACAGTTTATTGCTGCATCTACAAATATAAAACTCTACCACAAAAGACAAAACCTTAAAATAGGAACCAGAAACGCTGCTGCCTTCTCTGGGCCCGAGGTAATTTAAGATGGACTGAGGTCAAGTGGAAAAGTGGTCCAACGAATCAAAATTTGAAATTCTTTTTGGAAAGTACTTGTCCGTACTTTTGCCCGTTTTACTTAACAACCTGATTTGGTTTGAGATAAATGTGTAATGATATAGATATGCACTTTGCACAGTGCTAACCTGTTGCTTGCTCCATTACTTGTTGGCTACACTAGCCTTGTAACTCCGGGGTGAAACTAAGGAAGCAAACTTTACATACTAAGCATGTCTTAGTTGATCAACTACGTTTGGGGTAAGAAAATTGAGTAAAATAGTTTTCACCAAACGATCAATTAGATGTAAATGGTAGTTTCTCATCTCCGGTATTTCGGCTATAGTCTTACTTTTCCTTTTTTTTTCCAGTGCTTCCTTTTTCCAAATATCACTGTGGGTGCTGCACTTTCATTACCTCTCAGGCTTTTGCCAAGTTTTGCTAGCAGACGACTCAGAATGCCTTTGTGAATTCATTGGCAAAAACATTTTATGGAGCTCAAAAGATCCAGTCGAACACATAGAAGCCTCCTATACTGTGCAGCATAAATGCATGCCAATGTTGCTGAAGTGGGAGGTCGACAGGCTCTTGTGCGTCAGAGATATTTGAGGCTCTGATCACACGCTCCACAGCGCTAACACTCTGAGGTGTGTGTGCGTGAATGGTGAGACTTCAGTCTTCCACCGTGCACTGATTTTCCCCTCGGTGGGCACTTTTTCCTGAACTTCCAAAGCACAATCTAAGAAACACTCCCTTTCATTTGGAGCAGAACAAAAAAATGTTTGTGGTGCCAGTGAGCCATTTGCAGTAAGTGATGACTGTTTACAGCATTGAGGGAGGAAGGTGGTAGGTATGCACTGGTCGAGCAGGTTTGAAAGCTTTAGAGCTGATATGTCATGGAGGAAGCTCAACAGTGGGAACAGTATGTTCCCTTTTACACCAATTCTGATTGTAAATGTATCCTTTAAAAAGGTTGTATTATGGAGAACCAATTCTGTCCTGTTTGATGTACTAATAACAATATAATACAAACCTTGCAGCAAAGTAGCCCATTTTGAATCCCCCATGGACCCTCACAGAGCAGGTACTATTTGGATGGTGGATCATTCTCAGCACTGCAGTAACACTGACGTGGTGGTGATGTGTTAGTGTGTGTTGCGCTGGTCTGAGTGGATCAGACAAAGCAGTGCTGTGGCCGAGAGGTACATGCGGAGCACTATAAGGCAAAATAGAATCCAAAACAGCATATTTTTTTTAGATGTACCAGTATTTCACTATTATCAACATTACATATAATACTCAGACAGGTGTAGGTTTACTACTGGTTTTGGTAAGTGAAAGTGCTGTACTTATGTTGTAGACATCATGAACCCTGGCTCCTGTCACCACCACTGTAAAGAAATTCTCTACCATGAACCATTTCACCTCAAACCTCTCTGAAATTTAGAAAATTCAGTGGAATTCTCCTTTAAAGGCACTGTAACAAAAATCACTTTTTCCTTCACTGCTCTGATTGTGCCTTTTGTCCATCCCAGATGCTAAACCATGGGGAACGTGGAGAGCCAGAATGGAGATCATGCCTTCTACGGTGAGCAGGTCCACCTGTCCCGCAAGCACACATCCCGGTCACTCCGGATCTCCAACAAGCAGTCGCGTCGCTCTCGCCACGCCTCGTCCAGCAAAGCGGAGCACCGCAGCTCAGAGACCAGCACACGGTCCAGCAGCACACCCAGCATCCCACAGTCTTTGGCTGAAAACGGCCTGGAGCCATTTGACGGAACGGATGCACTGGAAGAGTTTGGAGACTCTATCTGGGTGGACCAGGTGGCCATGAACTTGCGGCCTATGTCCTTCCACGACCACCCAGGTGGCGACCCTGTCACCACACCTGGCTCGGAGGACGGTGGGGACACGGTGGTGGGAGATGGAGAGGATGATGAGGGCCTGTACACGGGGGAGGAGACATACCTTCAGAGGGTGAGTGATGCACCTGGGGACGGTGGCAACAGCTTCAAGAAGAAGCGCTCCAAGTCTGCGGACATGTGGCGCGAGGATTCGCTGGAGTTTTCACTGTCTGACCTCAGCCAGGAGAACCTGACCAGTACAGAGGAGATCATCCAGGCTACTCAGGAGGAGGAAGGAGACTTCCACAGGGGACACGATGGTCACTCTGGAGAGAGGGCCAACTCTTTGGACGAGCTATGCACCCAGAAAAGCACCACACTCCGTGGCTCTCGGAACCGCTATAAGTATGGCCGTGATGGCGAACGGACCGTGGGGGGAGAAATGACTGATGAGATGCTGTCACCAGGAGAAGAAGACAATGGCGGGTACGGAGCATATACACTGCCCTGCCGACGCTCCCACTGCTTGTCTGAAGGTCCTCCCAGTCACCAGGGGGTGCTGTGTTCTAGTATGCAGGGACGGCGGGCACAGACTTCACATGTAAGTGTTTAGAGTATATAACTGGTTCCGCTTGTTTACATTCAATCAAACCCACCTATTTTCCTATTTACACTTATTACGTACCTAGAAAGGTATTAAAAAACCAAAATATATATATATATTTTTAATACATAAATAATGGTCAGGAAGTAGTATATTCTGATTCATTTTGATTTTTCGAGTATCCCTAAGAATAAATGAACAAATATGTAACTAAAAACAGCAAAAAGCCAACCCATACAGAAATAAAAAAAAAATTTATGATCATGTATATTTCTATAAGAGATACATTTTAATCTCCTAAAACCAGTGCCATCATCTAAAAAGGTAAGCCAAGTTTTTTTCCTTTGTTTATTGTTTTTCCTTCCTTGCTGTTAATAAAATAAAAAAAAATCAGACAGGAGAAAACAGTAGATTTTTGTGTCAGATTAGTAATCAATGCTGCCTCTTCAGATGAGCTATTTAGCTAACACTAGAGCTAACAGGCACAACATTGGACTCATTGTCTTATACACAAGGTCTTTATTCTTCAGTGGGCAATGGCCCAACAAATAAGTTTGTCAGAAATATTTTTCCATTGTTTCTAGAACTGGCTACTATCATAGAGTAGTTAGCCTAGTTAGCGGTAAAGCCACGTTACCTCAGTCCTCTCAGTCTCATCCTTATCAGTGCACCATTGATGCATTAAATACACTCACATTAAAGCATTCGTGTTTCATAGTAGCAAAGTTTACTACTAGTACTAGTACTAAGTAAATATTTACAAGTGCAAACACACATTTTACAGTTCTATTAAAACATAAAATCACCACTTAATTATTAGCCTGTATGTTTTCCCTGCCTTTCTGTGATGAAATGTAAAGAATACCCAAATAGTGATTTCAGCATTTGAATTTAGACACATTGGGCAGTTAATTGAGCCCTTGAGTACTCATGCACACATCAGGAAGTAGAGTTATTAAGGGCTGTGTGAGTAGTTCTCAGCTGATTTAGATGTGCTAGCAAAGTCTAGACACTTTCCTCTTTCATGGGTAGGGAAACAAGTCATTCTTTCAAGTCACCATGACAACAAAAAGACAGGTGTCTCCTCCTTAATGTTGGATCAGAGAAGTAGAGAGAGAGAAAGCTGGCTTTTCTGCAACACTTCTACAGAGCTGTGCTGTTTTTTCACCCACTACTGGTGGAGTTTAATGATTGAAAAAGAATCCAGTGGTTTCTCCTTTGAAACGCCTGGTGCCTTTGTAATGGTAATCAGCAAAAGCTCCCATGGAGGGCTCAGTGCAGCATGGGCTGTTACATGGAGAGTTCAGCATCTGCCATCTTCAACTAGTTTGAGGGCTCAGCGAGCATGAAGTAAGATAAGAAACGAAGAACAAATCCTGAATGCGGGGCGGTTTCTAGGTAGGAAGAGTGATGGTGGACTTTAGTATTATCTCTCAATGTTCTACAGGGAGATTCACTCGAAAGAGGCCCCGAAAATTCTGTTGTAACTCCTGTTAGGATGAAGCAATCTGAACCAAAAAAATACGCTACATACATTGACGTATGTGTCATCGATTGCATTACATTAAGTGATCTCCATTTTCTGCCACACACATGAAGGGGTTCGGGGGTATGCACCCAGAAGTTGCAAAAGGAGGTTAAACGTCGGGACAGCTGTCCGGCGCCTACCTCATCGCTCCGAAGCAGGGGCTTGTTTAAAGCTCCATATCCTGAGGAGCACATTGCACGTTGTTTCGTTCAGATTGCTTTGTCCTAGCAAGAGTTATTACAGAATATTCGGGGCCTCTTTCAAGTGAATCTCCCTGTAGATGTTCCACCTAGTAGTGTTGTACATGGTATTTCACAAAACGTTCCTCAGTGTCATAGCCCACATTCCTTCCCACTACCTCTCAGCATTTAACCCCTTATAATCCCAGGCGTGTTACATACTAAGGCTTATTATTCAGTAACTACAGGGATTTCTGTGCGAACTGGTTGAGCTATTCTTAGGTTATAAAAGTGTGTAAAATAGACTTCGGCCATTTAAGGTGTTAAAAAGCCCTGCAATCCCAAAGCTCTCTAAGCACTTCCCAAAAAGTTTAGTGCCGTTGGTGTGAAGGGTTTTATCTCTGGGACCAATTTAACACCATCCACCTTCTCTACAACAGCACTCTGCACTGATTTTGAAATCAGCGACTGTTAATATGACTTTAATGTGTACTTTTGCCAACCAATGTACGTTTCCTTGAAGCTACCCGGGAAAAGCCGCTGTGTGGATCTAAATGATATGTTCAATTTCCAATTCCAGTTCTTTTTCTCATAGACTTCACCATCACCCTCATATAACATGAGTGCTCACATACTAAATGTGGGATGCAGTAAGTTTAAAAGTGAAATGAATTAACCTCTTCAAACACTGGCAGACATGAACTATACTTGATAACAGTCCAGCTACGTTTAGCTAACTAGCAGAACATTCTGCTTTCAATGCGAGGTAAGCTAATTAACAGCTAACGTTAGTTCATTTATAAACGTCAGTTTATAGAAATCATTTGCATTTCCACAGAAAATGATACAATAATCACACGTGGATATCTAATGTTAGCCGAAACAATATATCTTGTGTAGTTAACAGTGTACAGTTCGGTTGACCCATTCCCTCAGTCTAATTAATCAATAATGGGGCAGTCATGGGCTGGAGGTTAGGGAACCAGCCCTGTGACCAAAAGGTTACTGGTTCAATCCCCTGAACGGACAGTATGTGACCGAAGTGCCCTTGAGCAAGGCACCTAACCCCCAACTGCTCCCCGGGCGCTGTAGATAGGGCAAGTGTGCTCACTGCCCCCTAGTGTGTGTGTTCACTAGTGTGTATGTGGTGTTTCACTGCACGGATGGGTTAAATGCAGAGGTGAAGTTGTGGGACTAATAAGGGTCACTTAATCTTAATTAAGGGATTCGAGAAACTTCCCATGACCCTTTTTAGAATCAGAAAGTCCTTCAAGATGGAGTGTGGATGGGAATTCTGGGAGTGGCTTTCCAGAATCAGAACCTTAAATGCACCTAACGCCACACCTCAGTACCAAAGATAACTTGTTTCTATTTGACACTCTGTGTAGGACATCACGGCAGGTGAGGGCAGTGAGTACGGAGACAGCGGCATCGACGGCGTGGCAACTGAAGTCGAGCCCCAGTCCCGGCGCTGCAAGGCCATGTCCGCCTCCTTCTCCGTCTACTCAGCGGCCAGTGGCAGCGTGTTTGCAGGCAGCGACAGCGGCAGCAGCAGCGGAGGAGGAGGCACCGAGCGGCCAGGCCGAGACCAGGGCGTGTACGAGAACTTCCGGCAGGAGCTGGAGTTGAACTCACGGCAGACGCGTGAGAGCCTGGAGGAGGCGGGGTCAGCTGTCAGCGATGAGAGGAGCAGCGGCACCATGAGCTCTGCCTACCAGTCAGATGCTCTGCTTAACATGGCACAGGGCACGGTGCGCAAGGCTGGCGTGCTGGCCGTCAAAAACTTCCTGGTGCATAAGAAGAATAAGAAGGTGGAGCCGGCGACCAGGCGCAAGTGGAAGCGCTACTGGGTATCGCTGAAAGGTGAGACTGCTCTGTACAGTTACACATGATTGACCCCCAAAGTTGTAGCCGCAACTATGACGATTCCTCACAGCTGGGTTTCCTGAAACCATCTTTTCAGACTTACATGACACTTATATATAATACATATAGATATATGTACATATGAAGGGTTTCTTTCTAAAATGCATTATAGAACACAGAGTTTTATACCCATGCTATATTATTATTGATATTAATGAAAAACGACAATTACAGTTACAGACTGTAGTCCATCTGTTTCTCTGCATACTTTGTTAGCCCCATTTGCCCAGCACTGCGGCAACACTGATGTGGTGGTGGTGTGTTAGTGTGTGTTGTGCTGGAATGAGTGGATCAGACACAGCAGCGCTGCTGGAGTTTTTAAACACCTCAGTGTCACTGCTGGACTGAGAATAGTCCACCAACCAAAAATATCCAGCCAACAGTGTCCTGTGGGCAGCGTCCTGTGACTACTGATGAAGGACTAGAGGATGACCAACACAAACTGTGCAGCAGCAGATGAGCCATCGTCTCTGACTTTTCTACAAGGTGGACTGACAAGGTAGGAGTGTCTAATAGAGTGGACAGTGAGTGGACACAGTGTTTAAAAACTCCAGCAGCACTGCTGTGTCTGATCCACTCGTTCCAGCACAACACACACTAACACACCACCACCACGTCAGTGTTACTGCAGCGCTGAGAATGATCCACCACCCAAATAGTACCTGCTCTGTGAGGGTCCATGGGGTCCTGACCACTGAAGAACAGGGTAAAAGGGGGCTAACAAAGTATGCAGAGAAACAGATGGACTACAGTCTGTAACTGTAGAACTACAAAGTGCACCTATATAGTAAGTGGAGCTGATAAAATGGACAATGAGCGCAGAAACAAGGAGGTGGTCATAATGTTATGCCTGATCGGTGTAATATTAACATTTTACACTCTGTATTCACAAATTTGAGTCTACATTTCTGAGTTTTTTAATTTGTTTTAAAACTGTTAAAACATGCTAACAAACATGCTCCTGTTGGCACACATTGCTGGCAGTAACTGCAGTGTCTAAGAATTAGACCTGCCTTCTCTCCAGTCATGGTGGAGTACTTAGTGATTTTCTGAAGCTCAGACTGACCTGGTCTGCTTTGCCCCGAGCCTTTTTATAGTGCCCGTCTTGCAACGAGGATTTCATGCTTCGAAAGGCTGTCCCTGTGTCCACTCCATTCTATTCACTGTGTAAAGTCACACCAGTTCCTTGGAGAACTTTTGTCCCCTTTTCAGGTCATGCACTCCCAGCCAGGGTCAGTGACTGCTGAAGAACAAAAGCATTCCACAATGCTTCTCTCACTGTGCCCTCAGGTCAAAAAGACAGAATGCACCTACGCACCTGTGATTCTTTACCTCGCCAAGCTAATCGCATCAGCACTCCTAAACTCATTTTTTCCCCTGAAGCTTTTGATCCTGGTGTTTGAGGCTTGCAGCTTCTTCCTAACTCGATTCAATCAAAATTTAATTTCACACTCAAGTCCATTTTGATTACATCTCATTCATTATCCCTGAAAAATAGACGACCAAAAATAGCATCAGTGACATCCCTTCCTGTCCTTTGCACAAGGAATATAATCAAATTACTTCAGAGTGCTTTCCCTGAACCTTGTGCTGTCTGTTTAAGGTAATTCAGCTCAACCTGGCTGCCTCAAATCAAATCATCGCTGCCCTCCCACTCCTCGTCCAGCACAGAGAGAGCCTCATTTTCTCACTGCCACGGGAGGGTGGAGATAAATCCCCACGCTTGTTTCCCTTTAGATTCCCATTTATTTATTCAGGACTCCTTGCAAATCTACTCTGGCCTAGCTGAAGGCCGCCCCACCCTGCCCTTGAATTTTAATGCGCAGTCTCTTCCAACTGCCTGAGATGCCTGTCTGTGGATTACAATTCCCCAACCAGTGTGGTTTAATGGTCTAATCAGTGTGCCTCCCGCTATTATCCAGTGACTGATATGGTGATAAGCTAATGTGCTAATCCAAGATCATCTCACATTACACAGATATTTAGCATAAATGATCACACAAATCGCACGGCTATGCGACAATGACAGGAGTCGATTCTTACACCATGAAAACAGACTTTTCTGATTTTCTCATTCAGAGTGGTTTGATGAGAAACGATGTGTTGTAGAGGAACTTTATTTCAGCGGTGGTACCACTAAGGTACTGAGCAGCTTTTCAGTCGGCAGCTGTGACAGAAGAACACCTAAACAACCTGGAATCAGCCAGAAATGAACCCAACACCATTCGCCAAACTAAATGGGCTGTAAGATGCTTTACAGACTGGCTGGAACAAAACAACATTAATACTGATCTGGCAAAAACTGACAAAACTGAGCTAAACTTGATATTGCGGCAGTTTTATGGCTCAGTCTGTACTTCAGAAGGCGAGGCTTACAGCAGACTGTGCAGCGAGTGGGCGGAGCTCGTTACGCTGACATAGCAACAAGCTGCTTGTTAAGGAACTATAATTTGGTAAAGGAACTGCTAACATTAAAACATATTAAACACCGTGTTCACGGCCCAGTTTATTAATTTATTACTTTATTTCTCAACAAAGTCATTCAGAGTAGTTTGATTAGAAACGATGTGCTGTAGAGGAACTTGCCAGCGATTTATTTCAGCAGCAGTACCACCGAGGAACCAAGGGTCATGATGTCTACAATGCAAATATGGCCATTTTTCTACTATCCGCAATGGCCAGTGAACCTACACGTCTTCTGAGTTGTTATAAGAAATGTTGGTAATGGCAAAATCTGATGAAAATGTGTTTTCTTTTGATACTATTTTAATCAGAGGTGGGTAGTGACTGGTTACCCTTATGCCAATTCATGTAATTAAGTAAAATACTGATGGATTTGGACTCGTCTGAGTATTTTCAAATCATAAAACTTACTTCTACTCAAGTATATTAGTGAATAAAAGAATCTACTTTTTACTTAGTTACATTTTAGCCATTCATATTTAGTTTTTTTTGTTTTATTTAATTTTTTTTTATTTAAGTAGAAAAATAGAGCCTAACAAACTTCAGTTTCTGTGCTGGTAAAAGTTCCACTGAGGTTCTATAGGTTACTCAGTACTTAAGTAGTTTTTATGACTTTTGTCCTTCGTCTTAAGTTGTTTTTGGTAAGGTACTATTATACAATAAATAAATAAACCATTTAATGAATAAAAGCAGACAACAGAGAAGGCAAAAACATCGAGGAAAGGAAGGAACTTAATGTACATGTAAAACAAATTCTAAAAATAAATACTTAATAATAATAATAAAGTAACAATAAAATAAATAAGTATGAAAGATAAGATAATAATGAAACGGAGCTACAAGAAATTGTAGCACATAATACAAAAATGTAAAATCACAAGAAAAATAAAATAAAATAATAGTAAAAATAAATAAGAAATAATAAGAAAAATTAAAATAAAAAGATGTTTTAATCGGCTTTTTAACCTTTTCAACTCCTTGGGACCACCGGTGGTGCCAAAATGCACTTCGTCATATTCTTCATAACTTTCATATTTCATAAGCTTCATTTAAAGGTGGGTGTCATATTAGAGCTGTCCTCTTTCCAGTCAGATAGATGGGTGATGTAGTTTTAAAACTTTATAATAAAAGAAGCTGAACTCACAACTTTTTTTTCTACTCAAAGTCGACCCATTTTTCCACGAATTTGAGCTATAAACTGGATCTCAGATGGCGTCTCATCAGTGATATACTCTGTAAAAATGGTTTTTAAAAAAAAAATACAAAGAGCATCTAAGATTTTTGGCTTTCAGCAGTAAATTGTAAGCATATAGCAATATGCGTATGAACATAAAACACATGTTCTGTTAATTTGAGGGGAGCTTTTACAAAAAAAAAAAATAAAATAAAAATTTACAGTTATTTCATACAGTGAATAATTTGCCTTACGATTTGGGCATGTAAATTCAGATGGAAAAACCGAAATATACCTACGAGCATAAATGGTTAAAATTGCTAACTGAAGAGGCTTGTTGTCCTACATGAAATCTCTGCCATGAAGGGATCTTAAAAAAATGTTTTAGGCCAAATCCTTATTTCAACACTGTCGTAAAACAATGCCCAGGCACCAGGCACTGTGTTCATAACCTTTTGATGTAGTAGTTTTCTGTAGCTTTAAAATGCGTTAAACACTTCAGACGTCTGGTTCCTATCACCACTGCTGTGACTCGACTTTCTCTAGAGGGGTGCATTTCGCGTAAAGCTTACACTTAAATCCTCAGACACAATTTCTCTTTGAATACTCTTTCAACGCACTGGCAATTATCAGACTAGTTTGCTCGGGGAAGGGGTCCGACGATGCAAAATACATTGCATGCAATTACACATTTCCACCAGAGAGGTCTCCAAATCCCCTAGTCTTACAAAGTGTAGCTTCAATGATTTAATAATGCACACATTTTTACATTTACATTTACTGCATTTGGCAGATGCTCTTATCCAGAGCGACGTACAGTTTGACCATTTCACACAGGTAGGCGAAGGTAGTGTTAGGAGTCTTGCCCAAGGACTCTTATTGGTATAGTGTAGGATGCTTACCCAGGAAGGGGATTGAACCCCAGTTACCCACTACACTATACCAACCACACATTCTGAAAAATGCTGAGAAGAGTTCCCCTTTAACAAAGAATAGGGGCTACTTAGGAATGATTAGCATGCTCTTGCTGGCTGTTGACTTTCTTGCCTAGCTTCTGCCAGTCATTATAAGTCATGCTAATTACTCAAACAATCCATTTATTCTCTTTTATCTCCTGTCTTTTGAACCCAGGATGCACTCTGTTCTTCTTTGAGACTGATGGGCGCTCAGGGATCGATCACAACAGCATTCCAAAACATGCAGTATGGGCTGAGAACAGCATCGTCCAGGCTGTTCCAGAACACCCCAAGAAGGACTTTGTTTTCTGCCTCAGTAACTCTCTGGGAGATGCCTTTCTGTTCCAGGTGAGTTAGCTCTGATTTCAGCAGGTGCAGTATGGCCTGAGCCTCTTAGGCATCGAGTCTGCTTAGACCTTTTTCTACCTACTATGCTGCATGTGTCCAAATGATATTATATCAGTTCATCATTTAGGTGGATGGTAGGAAAAAAGGACGGAACATTCAGGATTTGCTTTGTCTGAACCCCTTTTATGTCCTTTATGCTAATGCTTGGCATTTAGTGGGGTGGGGAATGATCTGTATCATTCAGGGGTTGATTTTAAAGGTTACCACGTCAGATTTGACTTTACCGTTCAGCTGCTCCTCTCCTAAATGTCAATCAAATACCCGCTTGCATTGTCATATTGATAATGGAAACTATGCACATCTTAAAATCATTAAAGTTCTCGAAAGAATAACAGTTGATCTAATGGTTTTACAGCCTTATTCCTGTGTAATATTAACTAGGATGGAGAGTATCTAGCTAACCAGCTTCTCTCTGGTTTGCCAATGAACGGCAATCTCCTTCTAAGGCTGTCTAGTATGTGAAACAGTTAATGATTGCTATACTGATTGCTGTGATGATTATATTGCGTGCGGTTTTGGCAGGCAGGCAGTTTGTACGCTCCTGTTATGTAGCCAGTATTCCCCCCTCCCAAGCATTAACACATTTAATCTGCCCTTTTTGGACCAGATCTTTTAAGATTTTCAGCAACTGAGCTCAACCCTGCAGTTTGTCAAAACCTTGATATCTGATTAAAGAAGGAAAACATGTCAGCCTCATCAGTCTAATCTCTGTTTCCACTGGTGTGATCAGACATCTGGGCAGACAGAACTGGAAAACTGGATCACGGCCATCCACTCGGCCTGTGCCACGGCCGTGGCCCGGCAGCACCACCGGGAGGACAACGTGCGCTTCCTGCGCTCCGAGATCAAGAAGCTGGAGCAGAAGATCGACATGGATGAGAAGATGAAGAAGATGGGAGACATGCAGCTCTCGGCCGTCACTGACGCCAAGAAGAGGAAGACCATCCTGGAACAGGTACGTGACCCTGTCTTACCTAACCTACCGTCGACGATACGTTCAGAGACGTCGGCTTCGCCGCTTTTTCCCATGTTCTACTTTATTTTCCTCTTGAGATCCATTTCTGACGTTTGATTGGGTAATATGTACACTCTAAAAAGATGGTTCTTTGGTAAAGAAAAAGGTTCTATGTAGAACCATGAACACTCAAAGAACCCTTTGCATGATTAAGTGGTTCTTTGCATCTTAAAATGTTTCTTCAGATTGATGGAAAATGTGCTGTAAATGGTTCTATATAGCAGCCAAAAGGGTTCTTCTATTATTACAGTGTCAAGCTTGCAACAATAGAAGAACCCTTTAGGGTGCTTTATAGAACCTTTTTTTCATAAGGTTCTATAAAGAACCATGTATAGCACATTCATGCATATTTTCCAACAATCTGAAGAATCATTTCATGATGCCAAGAACCCTTTCACCATGCAAAGGGTTCTTTGAGTGTTCGTGGTTCTATACAGACCACTAAAGAACCCTCAAAGAACCAACTTTTTTAAGAGCGTACCAAAAACAAATGTAATTCATTTTTACACGTCCGTTTTCTAACCACTCTTTTTTTCATGTGCCTTATATGCAAATGAGCTATGTTTTGATTGGCTGTCTTGTATTATGCCTCATTCAATTACTTGTTCAAAAAGATTGAGACACTAACAACATAAAAATGGACAGATTTTCAGCTTTGTTGGATCGGGTTCTTTTACATATCTAAATTAATAAATCATATTGTGAGTGTAGGAGAATAGATTAAAAGGCTGAAAAAGCCTCTGCATTAAATGATCAAAGTCCTATAGGCTTCTGAGGGGCTGAATTACTGCAGGCTTGACTTTTTTAAGGCATTACATTGTACATTTTTCAGTTATACAGTCAGACATACTTTCTGCTCATTTGCTCTTCTGATTGTTTCCCTGGCTGCTTTATTTTACATCTCAGCGCAGTAAAGAAGCGCGTGTGGTTAAGATGTTTCACTTGTTCCAGTCTATCAACATGTACTCAAGGCTGATGTTCTGTTTTGCCTTTTTCTAACATTCCTCTTCAAAACATTTCTGTCATGCCGACGGTTCTATTCCAAGAATGGCATGTTCTTTACACTCAGAGGACACAAGTGGGCTTTGCTGCTCAGGGGCAGAATCCTTCACTGAGAGTGTACAGCTGTACACAGTGTACACAGGTGGGCTTACTGCCTCACTGACACACAGGTGTGTTCACGCTGCTGTTTTTCATTCACTCCAATTAGGTCACTGTTTTTGTTGAGCTTGCGCTTCACTTTCTGTGGAGTTTACTCAAAGCTCAGTGTGAAACCATCCGGTTATTCTCACGAACATGACAAATACTGGAACTCTTTCCAATTAAGTAAACTTTTTTGTGTTTTAATGAAAAATATTATGACAAGCTGTGTTTGCTAGTCATGCTCTGGCTAGTCTTTTTGAGTCATGCTCAAATCGTCACTGCCAAAACAATCACTATGGAAGCGTTTGGCAAGTTTCGGTGTTGGGACTGTTTTGTTAGCAACGAAATTAATGGTTCAATCATTTATTTTAATAAAATTAACATGATTAAGTCACTCAAAGCAAAATGATTTTGGTTTAAAGTCCAATTGAGTTAAAAGTCTGAAATTAATTTTCAACTCTGACTCTAAACTAATTCGACCGAATGATCCATACCGCCTTGTTGGATTGTTAAAATATGAAGCTGAATCATTTAACTGATATAGAATTGTAGATAAATCTGTCAGTAATATTTTTTTCTTTTCAATGTTTCTGTACTGTTGTTGGATTAAGTATTTTATTATTAAGATAAGTAATAAGACATACATACTTTGAAAAACAGTATTTTTCCAAGTTTATTTCACTTCCACAGCACATTGACAACACAGTGAGATTTTCTTTTTACTTTTGCTACGTAGTGTTTTGTTGATTCGGTTTGCTTTCTTACAGTTTACAAGAGACTGAACTCTTTTTTTTTTCTAATTAAAAAATAATAAACATTGGTAATCAGAAAAACATACGTGGACACGATGAGAATTAGGGTAAAAAATGCCAACAAATAATAAAAAAAAACTTTAGAATAGAAAACTGAACTACTCAAACTTTTTGCTGTGTCATGAAGAGCACTAGTTAATCTTCTAAATGATATGAATATAGTTTGTCTGAATGATGCTTATAACACTCAAACATTTATGGACAAGTTCTGAGGAGGTTTTTTGAGAATGACTCACTCATGAGGACTTATGTGGTGCTCTAGGTGGCATACTTAGCTAAATCCTATTGTAATGTGTGGCTCAGTGTAGGTGTTTAATAGCTGTTTTGGTGTTGAGGATAATGTGCAGGTGTATTGTTTGAAGGTAATGGCTGATTATGTGAGAGAAGTTTGTTTTGGCTTTGCAGTAGGTCTACAGCAGGCCGAGAACTGCGCGTCTGAATGAATAGAACTCTGTACATAGGCGTCAGTGTAGGGGGCGCTGGCACCCCGAGCGCTGTAGTCAGTTTAAATTGAATAGGCTGAAATCAGCTGCAGTAGCAAAATGTCTTAGAATAGACAGTAGAGACCTTTAGTATTGACGGCTACAGCGGCAGCTATGGTGGATGACAAAAACTGCTATTTCGCAAGTATTTTCCAAAGGAGTTTGACTTGTTGCTACTTGCCATCATAGATTTACTAGTTCAGAGCAAAGATACCTGTTGTAGACAGTTCACTGTGAGAGTGAAATGGGTAAATTTAGCCTTTTCATTTAATTTATTGTTACTTTTTTATGTTTTAACATATAATTTTGTTTTCACTGCATACTAGACGCTATCTTATTAATGAAATCAAGGCATATTTTTCAAAGACGAATAGCTGGGCTTTTTTTGTCATTGTGCCTATAAGACTGAAATATGTAAATTATCTCTCTTCTGATTTGCTGCCTTGTATTGTTTGGCATTCAAAAAGCAGTCTGAGCTAAAACACTCCTTATAACTTCAGCGTGAGTGGACGGCGCCAAACTGCTATAGGCAGACTAGGCAGGTATATGTAAATATGTTGGTTTTTGTGACATCACAAAGTTTTGCTAACTTAGTCTTTGTACAGGGAGTGTGTGGACTTGAAAGTATGTTTGAAACAGAGCTTATATACTACATCAATATGTATCTGATCAGAGCTGCAGTTAAACAGAATGAGAATCACCAAGAGCAAAACAATGGAGAATCGATTAGTTGTAGACAATTAGTCAAATCATTTTGTCCATTGTCTCTTGAATAGGTGCTCAAGCTTATTTTTACAGTATGAATGTTGCTATCAAAAGTTTTGGTCTGTAGTGTACTTCAGTTATAGCCTTACAGTCTAATTCTGTGGCCAGTTTTTGATAGAAAAATGTTTCACGTAATATTTTCACATAAGCCATAAGCCCCCTAGCCATTCCAATTTTCAAATAATAAAGCAAAAATCTCCCTTAACTCTGATATCAGATTAACTAGGACACTGTTGGCTTGTTGTTCTCTGTATTCAGCTCTGTGTTGAGCTGCTAGTGAGCAATGATGAGTAAAAGGGAAGGGGGAGAACAGTTAACACCTCTCCACAAAGACAGCCATACGGAGGTAAAACAGACAGCACAACTGCAGCTTTCCTGGTGTTAAGAAATCATGGACAACTGCCACAATAAAAAATAGTATTTAAATACAAAAAAGTGTTTTTTTTGCTCACCTGTTAAGGCTCGGGATGGTATTTTATGTCTGTGAAAAGGGGTTAACTGTATTTTACTCTTTCTCCTTCTCAGATCTTCCTGTGGGAGCAGAACCTGGAGCAGTTTCATATGGATCTGTTTCGCTTCCGCTGTTATCTGTCCAGCCTGCAGGGCGGCGAACTCCCCAACCCCAAACGCCTGCTGGCCTTCGCCTCCCGCCCCACCAAACTGGCCATGGGCCGCCTGGGCATCTTTTCCGTCTCTTCCTTCCACGCCCTGGTACGAGGAAAACACACATCTGCTTACAGATACAAATACAGAAACTTTTATTTCTCACTTACATGTAATCTTACCCTCCCTTCACTCGTACGCATGCGATTACATAATGCTAATCTATACACACTACCATTCTAAAGTTAGGACTTTTTTATTATTTTAAATACAATAATGAATTATTCAGCGTTGGTGTAAATATTATGAGCTTTTTAGATGTTTTATGCACTATGACAAGTTTAGGTTTTAAGTTTTTAGTGATATATATTACAGTATAATATACCGTAAATATCTATCTACAGTAAATATTTGTAAAGTTATCCAATCTGGGATTTGATCACCACTTTTCAGATATGAGGCATTCAGAATGTCAGGCTTTCTCAGTCATTTCAGAATCATCTACAGCTCTGTTCTTTGTTCTGGACAAACCTAACATTTCTTGAATATTTACAAAAAGATTTTTAGCTTTGTCTGTATTATCTAAAGCTTAGAAGTTGCATTGGGCCTGTTAGAATCATTTAGATGTTGTTGCTGTCGAAACAAATCCTTATATCTGGAAGTAACTTTAGTAAATTCACTAGACAGGATAAAGATAAAGTCTAGCAACTTTCACTTCTTTCAACTTTTAAAAGTTAATGTAAATATAATTTATTCTAATTATAATCTAGATTCAACTTTATTGTCAATGTGCAGAGTACAGGTACAGAGCCACTGAAATCCACTAAAAATGCTATATAAAAATAAATCATAGCATTAAATTTTAACACCGTCCAATTTTGGACGGTGCCAATATGAGCACTACTGTTCAAATGTTTTGAATGAATGTTTTCAATAAAGTAATAATTCAATAATTTCAACAAAATTAGCCAATTGTGTGGCATTGGATTTACATTTACATTATATAATTTAGTATTGTGTCATAAAATAACAAAATGATTAATATGAGATTATTAATATGCAATGATATTGGCTTTGTATTATCAAAAACATTGATATGCTTGATATTCTACACACATATAGAAACTTTCATTTCATACTCAGATTCCCCACACGTGTTCAGAGAAACACGCATATACTAATCTATAGATCTACATTCAGTTTCCCTTCTTAGAAACATTCACGCGTTTCTTATCACGCCGGCGTTCTCACACTCATTCTCCTCTCGTTCACACGCTCATGTGCTCTTACATAACACTCAGTTCAGTTAACGCAGCAGAGGCCTGAAGCCACGCCAGGACAGGAACACAGACTCCCTGCATTCTAACCAATCTCAGCCGGCGCTCCTGACGCTCCTGACGCTCCTGTGGCCGGTTATGGAATGTGTAGGACGGCATGACACGATAAGTGTCTGTCTCAGTCTGAGAGAAGAACAGCATGAAAGAATGAAGAGAGGAGCTACACCAGTCTAACAGCATTACTCTTCCACACGGTGGGAAAAACACTGAGAGAGAGAGATTGTAAAAAAAGACAGAGAGAAAGAGGAGGAGAACAGAAAGAGAGAGAGAGAAAGAGAAGAAGATTTTGCAAGAAAGAGAGAGAAAGACAATAAGAAAGAGAAAAGATATTGTAAGACTGAAAAAGAAAGACATAGAGAGAAAGAAACCGAAAGACAAAAGAGATATTGTAAGAAAGAAAAAGAGAGAGAACGACAGAGAAAGAGCAAGAAAAACAGAAAGAGACCAAGAGAGAGAGACAGAGACAGACAGAAAGAAAGAGATGCTGCCAGAAAGAGAATGAAAGAAATAGACAGAAAGACAGACAGAGAGAGAGAGAGAGAGAGAAAGAGAGAGAGAGACAGAAAGAGAGGAACAGAGAAATTACAAGAAAGAGAGAGATATACTGAAGGAAAGAGAGAAAGAAAGAGAAGGAGATATTGTAAGAAAGAAAGGGAGAAAGAAGCAGAAAGAGAGAGAAAGATCTTGCAAGAAAGAGAGAGAATAACAGAGAAAGAGCGAGAAAAACAGTGAGAGACAGAAAGAAAAAGAGATGTAGCAAGAAAAAAAGTGAGACAGAGAGAGGAAAAGAGAGGCACAGCAAAAAAGAGAAGGAGACATGGTAAGAAAGAAAGATACAGAGAGAAAGAAGCGGAAAGACGGGGAGAGATCTTGCAAGAAAGATAGAGAGAAAGAACGACAGAGAATGAGTGAGAAAGACAGAAAGAGAGTGAGAGACAGAAAAAAAGAGATGTTGCACGAAAGAAAGTGAGACAGAGAGAGGAAAAGAGAGACAGAAAGAAAGAGAAGGAGATATTGTCGGAAACAGACAGCGACGTTGCAAGAAAGTAAGAAATGTAAGAAAGAAAGGAATGAAAGAAGAAGAGAAAAAGAAGGAGATATTGTAAGAAAGAAAGAGAAACAGAGACAGAGTAACAGAGAGATTGTAAGAAAGAGAGAGAATGGCAGAGAGTGAAAGAGAGAAGGAAAAAAGAGTGATAAAAGAGAGATAGTGAGAGAGAGAGGGCGAGTTACAGTGGTTAATCAGTAATTGGTCTGGCTGTGCTGGATTGGCCTGTCGGGCTTTTTCCCTACATAATCTCTGCTTTACGATCGTGTATTAAGATTATAGAAGAATTTGCATTCAATTTTTTTTAAATCTCTCTCTCTCTCTCACTGTATCTGCCTCTCGCTCGCCCGGCCGCTCGCTCCTGATAAGCTGAACTGAAGGGTAACGCTGCTGAGGCTGAGTGGACCCCACTCAGTGCGTTTGCTCATCAGCGATTGCACTTTTTCTCGTACGAGGTTTGCAATCATATTTTATGAGTGAGTGATTCTCTAATGACCTGTGGGATTTAAACGCTCATCTGTGCTGGAGCAGCGCAGCCTCGCCGTGACTCCTCTTAGCGCCGGAGCTCGGCCCCGATGTGAATTAACCCAGAAACGCCAGCCTGATTCTCCGTCTCTGCGTGAGCTGTACAGATATGTAACAACACTCTGACTGTATGTATATTCATGCTGTGGCCTAAATATATCCTAGATATATATCCAGAGAGAGAACTGTGTCGACTCTCATCTTAGGGCTTGAAAATAATTGTTAGAAAGAGTTCTTTTGAGTAACGGCAGAGGAGAACTACTTTTGGTTCCCTAAAGCCGGGGTTACTCTACACGACTTTTACCCCGATTTTAGCCCCGATTCTGAGTCTGAGCTGGTCGGCTCTAGCCTGCAGATCTTTGGGTCAGTCGGAGTCGACAGATGGAGTGAGAGTCAAGTCGGGTGTGAGGGGCGCAGACTCAGATTTACAGCCTCATAATCGAGTTTCAGACCAGTTGGAGTTTATCAAACATTTGATTTTTTCGACCCGACTACACGACTCAATCTGAACGGGCTCCTGCAACAGCCAATGAAAACTGAGAGCACGAAAGAAGAAAATACAGCAAGTGAACAAAGAAAAATGGCGAAAAGTCTCTCACATGTGGAGTGAAGCTTTTTATTCACAATTCAAGAGTTTTATTGTCATATACACAGGCAGTTACGCTGTACAATGAAATTCTTACTTTGCTGTTCCTCCATTCACCAAATATATTCTTAGAAAAAAAGAAAGTAATTTTAATGAGCTGAGTTTAAGGCACAATCAAGTTTATGTACATTTAAAAATCTAAAAAATACCAAACTGATCACATTTTTAAATCCATGATCCTTATTTAAACATGTTTACCTGCTGCTTCTTTACTGTGTAGCGCAAACGGTGGAGAAAACAGCAGCAGCAGCTCCACGTTTGTTTATTTGTGTCTTCTAGTAACGAGCGAGAGTTCAGTGAGCTCCATTCGGTTTAGCAGCAGCTTAAAAGTTGAGTAGTGTGTGATCCTGAATTGTTTAGTGTGGATCCCCAATATTTCAGTCTCCCAAAAACTAGTTTAATAGTCTGAGACGCCCAGTCTTTTATAATCTGTTTAGACTTTAAAAGTTGGGTAGTGAACCCACGACTTGTAGAACCTTTTCAGTGGATGGGTCTTTAAAGGGCCTAACATTTTGTTTAATGCGAGTTTATGTAGTAAATAAACACTTTATTTAATGTTTTAATTAACATTACTTTTAATGTAATGTAAGTGGAACCAGACTTTTTTCCAAATCCTTTGAGGTCAGTTCTTTTAGTCCATCCATCATTGAATTTACACACAATGTGAAGGATAATTTTCAAATGATGTCAAAACGTCAAAAATGGAGATACTAGGTTTTCTTCTCACTGCAATGATATACATTTATCTCATTATTTAGGCTACAGCAGTTTAGCTCCGCCCTCTCATGCGGAAGTTATAAGGAGTGTTTCTCTCCGGACTTGAAAGAGGCAAAACAAAAGACAATCAGAACAGAGCTCATTTATATAGATCTTAAAGGCACAGTAACAAAAACAGCCTGTTTAATTCTTCATGAAGAGAGGTTGGAAAATGGCCAGGTAAAAATTTATTATTATTATGTTTTTAGTACATAAACTTGACACAGATGCCATAAGTGGACCTCAAAAAAAATTGGATATGTGTCTTTTAAAGAGATTTTGGTATATGATTAGTTAATGTAAAAAAAATAGACATTTTTAAAGAAACTTTTTATAATTTACAGCCATTAAAGGTGTTTTCTAGGACTGTACATCTAAACTGAGAACCATTTCTGAGCCTGTGTTGTTGAGAATGTAGTGTGGGAGGACCTAAGGGTGGCATTTATGTCAGCATGTTTGTGTAACATGGTTTAGAGGCTTGAGGCTAACTGTGCTATCGTATGTCACTGCTAATGCTGATGATTAATACATTAATAACAGGCCTCGAGCCACTTTAGGCCCCTCTTGACATCTCACATCATCTACTCACTCCACTAGGGGGACGTGTCAAGGCTTTTAAGCCATCATATGCAGTTAAGGGCTTTGAGCATCATATACTGCATATAGAATAACAGATGTGTGACCGTGTGTTTTTCAGGTTGCAGCGAGGATGGAGAGTGGGGTCCGGAAGCGCACGCAGGCCTTGTCCCGCTCGTCCAGCAAACGCAAGAGCCGCTTCTCCTCACTGTGGGGTCTGGACACTACCTCAAAGAAGAAGAGCAAAGGCAGACCCAGCATCAACCAGGTTTGCCTCCTCACTCACTATAACGCAGAATTATAGGCTTCGGCTAGTGATGGCACTGATCTGATGCCTGTTGCGTTCTAAAAATAATGTATTTTATAACATCTGGAATATATTATAATATGTATATTATAAGATGCCCTTATTGAGGCTTACACAGCGTCTAGAAACCCACTCACCCATACCAGGCTGTCATCACTCTGTCCCTTGTGACTTTTATATTTAATATGCATAAAACCAAAAGCAATTAGCATATCGCTGTTGTTGGAACAAAACCTCGGATCTCCAAAATGGTAACTTTACAGGAGAAGGAAAAAACACACTTTACTTTTAATGTGAGTCAATGGAACCAGACTTTTTTCCAAGTAATTTTGGGTCATTTTTTTTGGTCCATCCATCATGAAATTTTGAAACAATGTAAAGGGCAACAGGCATTTTCAAATTATGGCAAAAACTAAAAAACGACAAAAATGGAGATACAAGGTTTTGTTCTGACAGCAGCGATATGAAGGATAATGAAGATTTCTAATTTTAGTTGAAACCTTTGCATATGCTGACTGTTTCAATACAGCTTCATGAATAAAATATGAACGAAACATTAGTTGAGTGAAATATTCGTTCAGTTTCAGGAATATGATATGTATATGCATATCTCTGGCCTTTAATGATCCAAAGATGAGTGAGGCTTCACTCCCCAGTCACTGCTGCGCTCTGTTGCAGGTGTTCGTGGATGGAGAGGAACCAGTGAAGAAAAGTCTGGAGCGCATGTTTGAGGATCCAGCCAAGGAGAGCTCGGTAAGGGAAAATACCAAAGCACACCAGCACTCTCTGTACATTTAAAGGGATAATTTGGTGAAGAATGAAATCCACACAGTTCTGCCCTTTACTCCAAATGAATAGCACTGTGCAAACATTTTACACACCTGAGAGAATTAGAATTAAAAAAGCTTCTTATCTGGTCAGAACACATTTATTGGCTTAGAAAAACACGAATATTAGGATAAATACAAGTAATATTAATACAGTAAGTAGTGATTTTACACTGTCAGTGTGTTTATTTAACTATTTCCAACACCGATTTTGGCTAATCAGTGCTTTATTGGGTTAAATCAGGGTGATGGAATTTCAGAAATTCATTCAGGAGAAATCTGGAACCAACCCTGTGTTCTTCAAACTAGCTCACAAGATATCAATGACTTTTTTACTGTATTTATGTTTATTTACATCTATTCTAATGATATTTTGCGCTTTTACTGGCAAAAACACACTTACTGACCAGATAAATGGTGTTAAACTATGTGTATAGATGCCTGAAACCACAATACTGTAGTCGACCACCGAAAACAAGTTTGGTGTCTGAAGTTTGCTTATGAGGCTAATGGCACCAAGAAATCATGAAAGCTTATATCCCAACAGTTAGCATTGTGCAATATGGATTACTAAATCTTCACACACTTGCTTAAAATTTTGTCTGTACTTCTGACTCTTTTTATATATAACAATAAACAGTCATATTTCAGATTGCTTAACAACTTGACACAGTTTTATGGACATTTGCCTCATGCTTATATGTAGATATAAGCAGAGACATTATAAACACTGCAAAATAAATGGTATCTAAGCAAATAAAACATCTTAAATCAAGCAAATGTCTAATATTTTTCATTATGAGAAGATTTTGTAACTCATTTCTGTAAATTTTTTACTCAGATTAAGTCATTTTATTTTTTATTCTGTGAAAGTGTCTTATTATATTGGCAGATAATTTAACTTCAATTTCAAGAAATAATGTTAAAAAAGGAAAAATATCTACCAATGGATTGGACTGAAGATGTTTTAACTTGCTTAGAAATCATTTTTTGCAGTGATGGAGGAGACGTCAGTTCAGTGATTTGAAAAATTAGTGAGACATCTTGTAACACTCAGCATGGATGTTGTTTACGAGGAAACTTCCACCCTTCAATAAAAAGAGCCAATCTGCTTGCAAATAAAGCTGCAAGCGGGAAAAGCCCTCTCTTGTTGTGGAGGTATGCATGTGCAGCAGCCGGAATGAGCTGAAAACACACTTTTTTGCATTATTTGAGTCAAACACTACAAACTATTCATCGATTTTTGTCAGATTTTACCAGTTATTTCAAATATGTTTTAAAATATTAATGTGTCTTTCAGTTTGGGGTTTTACAGGCCTCTCCCCATTCAAAGATGGGAGCCTGGTTATGTATGGCTGGAAAAAACACCCTGGGTCCATTACAGAGATGTCCACTGAGTGGACGGTTGCTCTATAAGGACTTTGGTATAAGCTTCTGTTAGTTACATTAGCTTTGTAGCTCCAGTGAAAAACTGTAAAAGCAAACAAACGTCGGTAACACTTTCTATGAATGTCACCTTTGTAAGCATCTATAAACACATTTATAACATGTTATAATGCATTCATATGGCATTATAAACATGATTATAAACATTTCTAAAAATGAATTACACTTTATAGCCATGTTTATTATACATTATGAATTGTTAATATAATGCGTTATAAGTAGTGTTGATAATATGTTATACTGTCAGTGCCAAAGAAGTCAGTCCCAGCTTGGAGAGCGTAAAGACAAATACCAAGCTAACGGTGGTGTACATTACCTTTCCCACATTGGGTAAAACACTGATGGCAGCTCTAGTTTAAACTCTGACATTTGAAGCCTGTAATGTGCTTTACTGTGAATGTTTTAGTGTTTCAGTAAATCCTTCAGTAAATACTTCAACTTGAAGCCTCACTCTTAACACTGGAGGAGGCTTTAGTACAGTACGCTTCACTTTACTTAGAGTGGACAAATACAAGTTATGAGCTCTTATAATTTGTTATGACCAGTACTTATAATGTATTATGTTAACAATTCATAATGTATAATAAGCATGGCTATAACATGTAATGCATTTTAATATATATATTTTTTTGCCATGTTTATAATGCCTTATGAATGCATTATAACATTTTATGAATGTGTTTATAGATGCTTACAAAGGTGACATTCATAGAAAGTGTTACCCAAACGTCTTGTCTTTGGTAATTTGATTCCTTTAAAGCTGCTGTAGATGCTATTTAGTGAGATCTTTCAGAGAGTGGAGGATCAGCACTGTTGTGCAGGTCCTCATCTAGAAGAGCTCCTACAATGAATTGTTTTGTACAGTATGACAGATTTTTTAAGCAAAAAAAGCCAAAAAAATACTAGAAAACAACAAATGCAAGCATGGGGTGTATCCCCAGTAAGGGATAGAGACGGAGAGGGAGAATAGGGGGAGTTCGACTCTAGTTCTCTGGACTCTGCTGCCAGGGGTCTCCTGGGACAGACATGGGGGGGATGCCAGACTCCTCTCCTACCAGACACATCCATTACAGGCCTGGAGAAGAGACAGATGGTGTGTGTTTTGGGGGTGAGCTGTGTATGTGTGTGAGAGAGAACAGAAGAACGTGTATACTGAGCGTCTGTAACCGCAATCCCCCACATCCCCATTCCTCCCCATCGCTCCGTGTGTGTGGGCCCGCCGTCATGTGGACCACCGTCAGTGGCACGGCCAGATTGCAGTGAGAAGGGGGAGGAGAGGCCTGTCACTCGATAGTGGAGGATAAGCTATCGGCGGGCAGGCAGCATGCTGCTGCTGACAGCAGGCCAGAGCTGCTGACAGGCCTCAGAGCAGAGGGCCAGCAGCCCCGTGTCCACCCACACTGCCCCCCTGTCACTCACACCTCACCCTATCGATCGGCCACCAGGGGCCCAGTCCGCATCTCCGAGGGGCACAAAGGGATCAGAGACTGCCGTGATTGGGTGCCAAGTTAATTAGATTGCGCAGATTAGTCGGAATCGGAATCAGACACAGCGCTTGCTTGACACTTTTCAGCCATATCGATCTGGCAGCCCTGTTTAATTGTGATAAGATTAAATAATGCGTGCATGAAAAGAGCGCTGACTTAATGCTTCAGAATTTTGTGCTAAAACTGCAGGTTTACAATTTGGTTAATAACCTTAAGGCTTATTATCCACTAACTACGATTAATTGCTTTCGAACTGCTGTGGAAGTTTCACTATGTGGCCAAAAGTATGTGGACAAGCCTCCTAATTAATGAGTTCAAGTGTTTCAGCCACAGCCATTGCTAACAGGTGTGAAAAATCAGGCACACAGCCATGCACAGCCCTGCTAGATCTGCCCGGGTCAACTGTAACTGCTACTAATGTGAAATAGAAGCATCTAGGAGCAACAACAGCTCAGCTACAAAGCATTAGAGCACACATAAATATCGTAAAATATCACCTATTCTCTGTTGCATCACTTGAGTTCCAAACTGCCTCTGGAAGCAACATCAACACAAAAACTGTGCGTCGTGAGTTTCATGAAATAGGTTGCAATAAATGAGCAGCTGCACACAAGGCTAAGATCACTATGCGCAATGCCAAGTGTCAGCTGGAGGGGTGTAAAGCACACCGCTGCTGGACTTTGATGCAGTGGAAACGTGTACTCTGGGGTGATGAATCACACTTCACTATCTGGCAGCATGATGGATGAATCTGAGTTTGGTGGATGCTTACAGAATGAATAGTGCCAACAGTAAAGTTTGGTGGAGGAGGGATAATTGTCTGGGCCTGTTTGTTAATGCAAAGCCATTGAACGGTTCAGCTGAAGAGCACTAACTGCCAATTCATTAGACGAGTGACAAATGACGGCGGGAGAGGAGAGGGAGGGCCATCTTATCCACTTAGAGAGACGATTGTGGGTTCCCAGCCACGGATGGCTGTGGCATCACTGGGGATTGAACTCGTGATCTCCCAATAACAGGGCAGATGCTTAGATGGTTGAGCATTTATTGTGATTCAGTGCATCATAAAATCAGATTTTTTCATGGCTTGATTCATTCTTGGTATGATTCTTTAGGAAACGAATCAGCACATCATATAATCTAAGTTCACTGATTCGACTTGATTCTTTTGGTGAGATTCAGAATTCATATATTCAACACAAATACAGCTACAGTGCAAAAACTATAAACAAAGCATGTTTTTATGCTTGAAAGTTGCCTCAGAATTCTATTTTGGCCAAAAATGAGTGGAAACTTTCATCGAATATTATTGCAATTGGATTATAATGGATTCTATTACTTCTAAATCAAAGCCATCTTCAGATTGATTCATGATATTTATACTCCTATATAACACTGATCCATAGTGGCTAACACTGCAACATCATAGAATATGCTTTATTGTTAATTCTTGCTTACACGTTGAGTTTTTCTGTGTTGCTTGCTTTCTCAGAAGGATCAGAGAGGCTCCATGAAAAGCCTTCCTCAGCAAAATGCAGACAGCGAGGTTTGGCTCCCTGACTACCTCACACCATCCTGGCTAACTCTGCCCAACGATCAGCCTGTCCTGGCCATCATACAGCCAGGAGAGACCACCATGGAAGCGTTGGAGGCAGTGTGCAAGGTGAACATCACACACATGCTCACACATAACCCTGTCAGGTTCAGCCCAAGTCCTCAGGGAGGCCAGGGAGTATGCAGCGTTCTCTTGAAACTATGAGCACCACATTTTATTCATGCTTTCAACCACAACTCTGTCTGTTTCTCTTTTTAAATTCCCTTATCTTAGGTAACTCCTAATGCCTCTCATACTTCCAGTGAACACAAGCTAAACAACGTAATGTTCCCATTTGCATACCTCAACGTATTCATCTCTGTCGTATAAGCATTAGCCGGAGGAAGCGAGCTGTCACTGTGAAGTCACGTCAGTTTGTAATGTGTAACATTCCTGAGAAGAGACTCGGGTCTGTCAGACACGGCTGTTTATGTTGATCTTAATCAGCATGTGTAACTAGACAAAGCCAAAGTAAATATTGGCCAATGCTTTTTTACATATGATGCACTGTAATGCAGAGGACTGAGGAGAAGTCAAACAATTCAGCCTTTATTCACTGTAATATTATGATATTTAAGTTGACATTTGATAAGAACCAGGAGTTCAGGATTCTTTCTAGTGTATGTGAACTTTCTATGAACTCCTGGCCTTGAGCTGCTCCTCAGGACAGATATAATTTATGTATATATATGTGTCGCTGCTGTCGGAGGAACACCTCGTAGCTCCATTTTTGTCGTTTTTCATATAATTTGAAAATGCCTGTTGGCTTTTACGTTGTGTGTAAATTTCATGAAGGATGGGCCGACAGAAACGGCCCAAAATTACTTGGAAAAATGTCTGGTTCCATCAACTTACATTAAAAGTAAGGTAGGTTTTTTCCTTCTCCTGTGAACTTACAATTTTGGAGATACGAGGTTTTCTTCCAACAATAGCAATGTGTGTATATATATATATATATATGAAGGGGATTAAATTTACATGGGTCCTGGGTCAATTTCCACTTTTACTGATGCTTCTCAGTGATACTATCACCCAGTATTTCTCCTAACTATTACTATTACTACTACTATTAATATTAGTAGTATAATAATTTTGTAGGTGGCTTGACCAGAGGAGGATGGGTCCCCCCTTGTGAGCCTTGGTTCCTCCTAAGGTTTCTTCCTCAGCTCTGAGGGAGTTTTTCCTTGCCACTGTCGCCCCTGGCTTGCTCACCTGGAGGATTTACATTTAATGTTAAAACTTTGTCTTTAAAGGATTTCTGTGAAGCTTCTTTGTGACAACATCAGTTGTAAAAAGCGCTATACAATTAAATTTGACTTGACTTGACTTGACTGAAATCTGGGATATTAATAGCGAGTTTATCCCGCCTCCTGCTGCAAAAAAAGCCTGTGCTTTTCTGGGAAGGCTTTACAGTAGATTAGGGGTGTCAAACTTAACCACTAAAAGAGCCATATTAAAAAATATTAGCAAATCTGCGGGCCAGCTGTGTTTTTATTTCATTTTTACTTAACATTTTGCCGTAACCCCAACGGAGCAATGTTTACTCAAAATATGCCAAAACTGCAACAGCAAAACAGGCACTGAATACTTATTCAAAAATAATTCTAAATAAAATAAAATTGTTTTAGGAATATTTATAAACTGTCTGCTTGAACTAAACAACACTATGTTGCAGTGCATGTTGGGCACTGTAGTGCATCTCAGGGTGAAACAGGCTAATAAGAACAGAAAATTAAAATAATTTCACGGGCCGAATAGGACTGTGTCACGGGCCTGACTTGGCCCGCGGGCCTTGTGTTTGAAACACGGGCACTAGATGATTGAACATCGCTTTGAAGATTTCATTGCACCAGGCCACAAGAGCGTTATTGGTCAGGTACTGATTATGAATGATCAGTTTTAGATCACAAACTCAACTTCAGCTCCAGAGAACACAGTTTCGTTTCTCCATAGCCCAATGCTGGGGGGTTTTATACCCCTCTAGCCAATGTTTGACATTGGGTGCACCATGAAGTAGCTGAATTTACTTATTAGAAGGGGTGTCTGGATACTTTTAAACATATAGTGTAAATTAAATGTAAGATTTTTTTTCAGTTCTCTAGAAATTTATTAATTTCTAGATTCAGATTTTTTACAACAGTGTATATGTATGTATATATATATGTACATTGATGTGGACCGTGGTCCTATTTTCCTACAGTATCACAATGTAGGTCATCTTAGCTTTCAGAGAGAGTGTTCAAAGGAGTACTCGCTCCACCACGGTTCCGCTCGGATGCTTTTCAAAAATAGGGCCCCATCTTCTGACCTGTAATCACCTTAAAGAGGCCAAACCTTCTCATTTCCCACCCTGCCCTGCAGGCTTCAGCAGCAGGCTATAATCCTGATGTTGGCTCCAGATAATCCTCTCCCCAGAGGGCGGCACCCACACCAGGAAGACGCTTCCAGTTCCTCTGTGCTGTTATCTCATCACCTGTCTGTGACTGCACACAGGAAATTGCCATGATTGGCTTGGCTTCGGGATCAGACGAGAATCCGTTTCTATCTGGTTCCACATCTGGCCTTATTTCTCTGGATTTATTTCTCTATTTCTCGTTCATTACTCAGTCTGGAGGAAGCAGCAGAGAACCAGACCAGAAACAATGAGCTGGAAAGGTTTCACAAGTTCCAGCAGATAGCATCCTGCTTCCTGCAATTAGAAACTGTGCAGTGTAGGCACCAGCCGGCCGAAGTGTCCGGGGTACAATTGCGGGATAATGATGTCCTGGACGGTGATTCTGGCGTCAAATTGTTCCAAACGTTCAAGGAAAATGAGACCATTTTTCTGTTCTGAGTTGAAGTTTCGTGACCTGACGCTACATACGCTAATGCTAACAGCTAGGCTGAAAGCTCAGTGCATTACATTTTACTCTTGCACATGTTTCAGTGCATTGTGTCCCTTCATATGTTTGATCTGTGTTGCTTTATAAAGCTGTAAAAATTAGAGAATAAAACTATGAGGTGTTTTTTTTTTGTTAAAATATTCACCAATCAAGCATAACATTCTGAGCACCTCCTTGTTTCTACACTCATTGTCCATTTTATCAGCTCCACTTACTATATAGGTGCACTTTGTAGTTCTACAGTTACAGACTGTAGTCCATCTGTTTCTCTGCATACTTTGTTAGACCTCTTTTACCCTGTTCTTCAGTGGTCAGGACCCCCATGGACCCTCACAGAGCAGGTACTATTTGGGTGGTGGATCATTCTCAGCACTGCAGTAACACTGACGTGGTGGTGGTGTGTTAGTGTGTGTTGTGCTGGTACGAGTGGATCAGACACAGCAGTGCTGCTGGAGTTTTTAAACACCTCAGTGTCACTGCTGGACTGAGAATAGTCCACCAACCAAAAATATCCAGCCAACGGCGTCCTGTGGGCAGCGTCCTGTGACCACTGATGAAGGACTAGAGGATGACCAACACAAACTGTGCAGCAGCAGATGAGCTATCGTCTCTGACTTTACATCTACAAGGTGGACTGACAAGGTAGGAGTGTCTAATAGAGTGGACAGTGAGTGGACACAGTGTTTAAAAACTCCAGCAGCACTGCTGTTCCTGATCCACTCATACCAGCACAACACACACTAACACATCACCACTATGTCAGTGTTACTGCAGTGCTGAGAATGATCCACCACCCAAATAGTACCTGCTCTGTGAGGGTCCATGGGGGTCCTGACCACTGAAGAACAGGGTAAAAGAGGTCTAACAAAGTATGCAGAGAAACAGATGGACTACAGTCTGTAACTGTAGAACTACAAAGTGCACCTATATAGTAAGTGGAGCTGATAAAATGAGCGTAGAAACGAGGAGGTGGTTTGAATCACCGAATATCAGCGTATTATCAACATGGTTTTTACAGACAAATCCTCAAGGCCTCTATATTGTATTTTAAAGTGTTCACGATGATGTTACTGTGCACATTTAATATCTTGGTGTACCAAATTACCAGATACTGACACATGTAATGCATCACTACCCGTCAAAAGTTTAGGGTTTATGCCTTATTTTTTCTCATTTTAGAGTAAAAGTGAAGACCTCAAACTGTGAAATGACACATGGAATGATGTAGCAACCATAAAAGAATCAAAATAATCTCATATTTTAGATTTTTAAAAGTAGCCTGTTTTGTCAGCTTTGCACAATCTTGGCATGCTTTCAAGCAGCTTCATGAGAAGCCACTTGGAATGCTTTTTCAACAGGACTGAAGACGTTCCACAAATGTTGAAACCTTGCTGGCTGCGGAAAACTGTTTCTTAGGGAGCATTCCAAAAAGAAAACAGTCACTAAAGTATTTCATACATAGGCATGACCTGCACTAGTTATATTTGTTATGTAACAAATTTTCAAGCATTTAGTCATAAACCTGTAGATAAAAACGTGTTTAAGATGAGGAAATAAACACATGCATTCAGTGAGGTTTGTGGGATTACATTTACATTGTTTTCAAATGTACAAGACTAAGTCATGTAACTGAGTTCAGTAAGAGTGTAAGGGTTTGAATACAATGAACATGTCTGTATTAAACATATACACTGTGTGTATGATGTGTGGGGGGAATGTCGCCGCAAAGAACCTGCATGTTTCCAATTAGTATGTGTGAATGTGTGAACAGGCGTCTTTAAAAAGCGTGCAGACGTGGAACAGCAGCTGTTGGAAATAGAGTTGTAAATAAGTTATGTTTTGGCGTTGCAGACCTATTAAATCCTAGAAATGGTTTTCTGTCAAGTAACATAATGGAATACAGTCTAAGGCACTCAGTGTGTATCGTGCCCATCCAAAAAAAATCTTCAATTTGAGGAATTTTTACGTTTTTAATAAGAAATGGGCAGCATCCTTTAAAGGCCAGGCATTTGTATTCTATAATGCAGGGCACATTGCTTACAATTGCTTTATAGGACAAAAGCAAAAATGTTCAGTAATGCCAGGAATAATAGAGTCGTCAGCTTGGATCACAGCTGGAGCACTAAGAAAGAAACAGAACAGATGAGCTCAAGCAGTTCAGCATCTCTGTGCTGAGCTCTGGATACCCGCACAAAATTGGAACATGTTAAAAGTATGATATTTATGCTCTGTTTATCAGTGGTGAAACATGATTATTAGAGCTAGGCTTTCATTTCAGGGCATAAATGTCAAAACTCTTGTCAAAAAACACCTCACCTGTCCAATACTGCTAATGATCTAGTTGTATGGTAGTGCTAAGCTAAAAACGATTCACTTGATTGTATTTTTTACTGGTTCAAGATTAACACAGACATTTGAAGCCTGTAAAAGATATTCTATGTTTTATTTTAAGCTTGTAACGGACATATTAACATATATGTCTCCTTGTTTGTAGCTGTTTTACAGTGTTTGCTTCAGTGAAGAGTCCTGGCAGAGAGCTGCCACTGTTCTGTATTTCCAACATAGGACTGAAATCTGGCTAGACTTCGGCTCAATCCCATTTCTTATTTTAAACCTACCCCTTGTTTTCGAGTGTCACTTTGCCCCTTGAAACTGAGTTACAAGGGGTAGCGGTTGAAATCTTCCTGTACAAAATGAGACCCTCAAATAAAAAGAGCATTACTTCATTAACAGCTACCAGCGCTGCTCTGTAGGCGACCCTGCCAGTCTGCAGTGACAGCAGAGGAGGGTAAAGTTCAGCTCCTCACTGCTGGGCTTCAGTTACATTTAGGGAATCATTTGTTTCCAAAGCGGGGGTGCAACAATTATTTATTATCACCCACCCCTAATTCTTCAGTGATACGAACCTGATGTCAGATATTCACGAGCTTCTTGTTCGATTTTTCCCGTTTCCACCTTAAATAGAGCAGCAGTTACATTTTGGCATTTCAGGCGTCAGAACTGCTGGACTATTTAAGGTGGAATGGGAAAGTTAGCTAGCTAGCTAACAAGACATCAGCATACTATTAGCAATGTTTTATGCTTGTTATGAAAAAAATGACCTTAATACACTGAAACAACATTAAACTTAGATAATATAATGGTTATCGTAATTTTTTAACAGAGAAAAGTCTCACATTTGTGAGTTTCTTTGGTCTCTTGTTCAGCCATCTTGCCGATTTTTCTTCAGCAACATTGCTGCTGGGCTTTAGTTACATTTAGGGAATCATATGCCTTCAAAGAGGGGGGCAATTATTTATTATCACCCACCCCTAATTCTTCAGTGATATGAAGCTGAAGTCAAATATTCACTAACTCCTTATTCGAATTTTCCCGTTCCACCTTAAATGGTGCAGCAGTTACATTCTGGCACTTTGGCTGTCAGAACTGCTGGACTATTTAAGGTGGAGCAGGAGATTTAGCTAGCTAGCTACCCAGACATTAGTATGCTATTAGTGATTTTTTGTGCTTGTTATGAAGAAAAGGACCAAAATACGACATTAAACTAGGACAATACGATGGTTATTGTAATTTTTAGTGGAGAAAATTCTCACATTTGTGGGTTTCTTTGGTCTCTTGTCCAGCCACCTTGACAGTTTTTCTTTTTTTCTCATAACTCTCTGTTTGGAGTCTCTGAAAAACCTCCGTTTGGAGGGTCATGTAGCCCCAACACTTCACCCTACCCCTCTATCTCAACAACAATCGGGACAGCCTACCCCTAGACATGAACACACAAAAAAGTGGTAGGGGTAAGGGGTGAGATGGGATCGAGTCTACATCTAGTATTCACAGTCAGTGATGTGAAAACAAACAGTGATTGATTGATTGATTCCACTGTTAGTTTCTAATTATGTTAGTGGTTAATGATGTGTTAGGCCTTCAGTTTGGCTCCCGAAGTTTTAACCAATGGGAAAGCTCACTTGGCTATATCTACCTACATATCACAAAGGAATTATCCTATTGGGTGTTTTCTGAATGTAACCCCTTTATATTCAACCAAGACTTATCAGGGTACTTCGCAGAAATCACTACACTCTCAGAAATAAAGGTGGTAAACTGTCACTGTCACAAAATACTGTGTTAAAATGTAAAATAAGACCGCTGATAACAGCAGTGACCAAAATAAAATACATATTTCTAAATATAGTATAACGTTAATGATATCAACAGTAAACATGAATCTGTTTTATACAAATTCCTAAGTTAAACCTCTTATTTATATATTATATAATATATAATATTGTTTATATAATAATATATAATATTGTTTTATAGTAAAAAATGGTTTCTCAAATGTTGAAAATTGTTTTTGTGACGAGCTGTTTTACATACGCAGAGCGACTATGAAACAGGGTAAAAAAAGAAAAATCAGAGAAATGTGTTATTTAATCTTAGGTCAACTGTGTAAATGTACATACTGACTTTTGGAGCCGTGCCTGATATTTTAAGCTTCTTTTTAAGCCCTGTAGCCTTTGTGAACTGGTTTCCCCTCCAAATGGAGAACGACCCTTTTCTGCTTTTGTTTTGTGCTTGATCAACTGTAACACCTACCTCGTCAGCTACAATGTGGATGCTAACGCTGATTTTCCCTTTTTTTGTTATATCCCTCAGGCCCACAGCCTGGATCCTTCCAAGCACTATCTCCGCCTGAAGTTTCTAATCGACAATCAAGTGCAATTGTACGTCCCTAACCCTGAGGAGGAGCTCTGGGACTTGGTGAGTTACACACACAGCTTTAAGTCACTGTATAGTCACTTAGTATAGTCAATTGACTGTATAGCAGTGGTGGACGAAGTACATAAACCATGTACTTGAGTTAAAGTACAGATACCCAAGGTAAAATATTACAAAAGAAAGTCCTCCCTTTAGACCTCCACTTGAGTAAAAGTACAAAAGTATTTGCCTTCAATTGTACTTAAATATTGAAAGTAAAAGTACTGAAAGATTAATTATGACTTTAATGTCCTGTTATCATTTTTGTAACAGGACTCGCTTCATTAACTCATTTTAGGTGAAAATACTCCAGTGTCTCTCTTGGTAAACCAGTCTTTTAATAGAATGTCATTAATTAGTGACGCTGATGTCTATTAAAATTATCATAAACACAAAACACTGAAGGCAAACAGTTTCTATCAGGTAGAACTGAGTGGCTCTGAAATCACTTTTTGCAAACAAGCAAAGTTTCAGTTTAAGATTTACTTGCAACTTTAAACTCAGATTCACAGATGAGTTTCCTTTACTAAACTGCATCTGTAGGTCTCTGTTCATAAACATAAACTAGCCAAAACAAATTTACTATAAAATGAAATAGTGTTTGTATAAATTCAGAAAAAAGAAACACGTCAGTCACAACTGCTTCTTTCGTTTTGACATGTTACCTTTTTATGCACAAATAAGCCAAAAGGAATGACAGATTTCTCATAATGTAGCAGAGTAAAAAGAAAGATATTTGACTTTGAAATGTAGAGGAGTGAAAGTAAAAAGTCGCCCAAAATAGAAAAACTTCAGTAAAGTACAAATACACGAAAAAACTACTTAAGTACAGTAAAGAATAATGTTTACTTAGTCACTGTCCACCACTGCTGTATAGTGAATAGTCACTGTACACTGAAGAAGTAATGCATTCACTGAAAAACAAAAATTAGCATGGAGTTTCTATGTTAAAGGGGCGTTTTAGCCTAAGACTTCAGGTAAATGTGTTAGTTATCCTGCAGTATTCTGTAGCACAGCTCAGCATTCAGTTTGACAGAATTTGACAAAGTTTGACAAAGATTTTTATTATTTTTGTGTGCGATAAGGAAATGCCATGATGTCGAGCCTAATAGCAGTAATACTTATAATAACACATATACATACATAATATAATCCGCCCCATAACTTCACTCCACCTATAAGATACCTCATCTGACAAAATTTTTCATTTTGGTTGGAGTGCCCCTTTATTTTGTGGGCTGGCCGCTGCAAAGCTCTGCAGATAAAGGCAAGGTTGGGCGCACGACTGGGATGTAGGTTATGATGTGTACGAACTTCCCTGAAGAGAAAGTGCTGCATATATTATGAATTATGTATACTGCAGATACACGAGCATGAGAATTCACTCTGAACTCCCTCGTTCAGTCTCTCTCTATCACTCTCTCTACCTTTCTTCACTCTCTGTCACATCCTGTCCAACTAGAATGTGTAAAAGCACATCCGCCACATCTGTATAGCCTCAAAACCTAATTGCTTAGATGCAGTTCTTCAAATATGGCCAAATAAATTTCAGAGACAACCGTTGTTTCTTCTCTCTTTCCTGCTCTGTTTGTATCACCATCTCCCCATTTCTGTGGAATGATCAAAGCTCAATTTTATTTATTTATGGCTCGCCGCAGGATAAAGTCATTATATAACCTATATATAAACCACAGACACTTCCATTGTGTAGGATTTCGCAGAGCTTCTTTCCTTTGTTTGTTAGCATTGTCATTTCTGTACTGATTCTTTTGGATGTAATTAGAGTAACTGTGTCTGTCTCCTTTCAGCTTTACAAAGAGATTGAAATTTGTACCAAAACTACCAAAGTCATCCAGTTTGACAGAGACGAGTCCTGCACCATCGGCTATGGTAGGAGTTTTTTGCTATTCCCTGGTCTGTTGTTTCTACATCACATGGAAAATACACTATTTCTATTGCTGAATATGTCAGAAATAAACAATGAATCTGAATCTAAAACTCTTCTCTTCTCTTCTCTTCCCTTCTCTTCTCTTCTCTTCTCTTCTTCTGTTCCCTTCCCTCCATTTTTCTCTTCTCTTCTCTTCTCTTCTTCTGTTCCCTTCCCTCCTTTTTTCTCTTCTCTTCTCTTCTCTTCTCTTCTCTTTTCCTCTCTTCTTCTGTTCCCTTACCACCTCCTTTTTTCTCTTCTCTTCTCTTCTCTTCTCTTCTCTTCTCTTCTCTTCTCTTCTCTTCTCTTCTTCTGTTCCCTTCCCACCTCCTTTTTTCTCTTCTCTTCTCTTCTCTTCTCTTCTCTTCTCTTCTCTTCTCTTCTCTTCTCTTCTCTTCTTCTGTTCCCTTCCCACCTCCTTTTTTCTCTTCTCTTCTCTTCTCTTCTCTTCTCTTCTCTTTTTTTTCTCTTCTATCTTTTTTTCTCTTCTGTCTTTTTTCTTATCCTTTTCTTTTCCCTTCTCCTCTCTCTAGGCTTCTCTGTAGCTGTGGTGGATGAGGACGGCATTCAGCAGCTCCATATCACAAATGTAAAGGCTGGAGGCTTGGCCTTCACGAAAGGTGGGGAAATCAGCTCAATGGGCTTTTCCATATAAATCAGATTAATCTCATTTATCAGATTAATAGCATTAATGCAGGATTAAAATCATCATGTTTGCATATCACACCCCATATTCTTTTTTTAGACCAAATCAGACGGTGCTCCACAGTCGTCTGCCTTCAGAAAATAGAAAACATTCAGTCTAGTCACATCAGTTAGCCAGCACAGCTGGGTCTGTAAGCTCAGCATGGCAAATTAGCATCATGGCCAACAGCTGATAAGCGCTGTCGGCTACTAAAGGGCTAAGAATTCATTCACCTGAGGTTGTTAGTACACAGAGGCAGCATTAATCTGACCCTCACTTGCCATGTTCCAGTAAAGTGCCTTACCCAGCCAGTTTGCTGAGACATCGTCAAGGGAATATCAAGCTATTCGAAACATAACGGGCTGACCCAAATCTCCACTGGGCTGGAGGAAATTCATTTAAAAGGCTTTCACATGAGGCTGGGATTAGCTGGAGAAGCAAATTAAACCCATTCCACACTGCCAGCGAGGTCGCGCCAAGCGGGCACCCATTAAGGTCGGCCTTTTTGGCCTCCGAATGCCAGCTCAGCGCCATCTGACCTCAGGCTACGACTTTTAACACTGGATTTAAAATTTGAAGCGATTGTGATAAATGCCGAAGCTGAACAGTGGCAAAAGGTTTCACAACTGTTTCTAATATGAGATTTAAGACTGTGAGCAACCATCTCTGCTGAAAAGTATGTGTTAAAGCTGTTTTATAAAAATGACTTATATAATCAGAAAGCTAGAATATTTGTGCTGAAAAAAGTATATTAATTTACTTGTTTTAAAGGATGTATTAATTGAACTCCAAACATTTCCACATTTATTATCATTTCACATATTATTTTATTTTGTGTGCATTTAAGTCGAAAAAGAAAAAAGATTGCATTTCCTGAAAGCAATGATTGCACAACTTACGCAGTTCCCTAGTACTGCATAGGTGTTGCTAAATGGTTGCTATGGCATTGCTAGGTAGTTGCTATAGTATTTTAGGTGGTTGTTATAGTATTTCAGGTGGTTGCTATGGCATTGCTATGCGTATTCCTAGGGTATTGCTAAACTGTGGGACGAGAAAAATGAGAAGAAAATAAATAAGAATAAATCGGAAAACAACATTGTTCAGTACTTTTGATAAATTAATACACTGTAATGCGCAATAAAAAAATGTATATATCACTTATTTAACCTGTTCAGGGCATCAGCTGACACGTGGAGTTAAAATTGTTAGCATCATCTAACTACAGTAATACAGAGATCAGTGGAAATACCCCAAAAAGATATGAGATAAAAAAACACTGTGTGTGTTTATGTGCATGCTGGCTACAAATTGGCACTGGTTACTCATGCTATCCGGAGGGTCTTGCACCAGTACTGGAGTAGAAAAAGAGCTCACGGCTAGACTGGGTGAGTAACCAGGCCAGTGAACACAAAGCCAAGTGGACAGCGTCTACTCCAGGAGAACAAAGCCCCTTTTCAGAGGAAGCATGTGCCCCAAACACACCGACTATAGTGGAACTGAAACTAAAGCCATGCGCAGTCTGAGATGAATGGAGGCAGAGAGTGTATCGCTGTAGCGTGCCGCCCAGCAGGCACGTTCCAAATTCAGGCCAGTTTGGACACACAGCACTGCAGGCTCTCTTTGATTACATCACTCCGGCGTTTATCATCGCTCCACTGCCGGGGGGCGCCCAGCCGAGCCCTCCAATCACAAGCCTGAGTTACGGCCCACGGTTCGCTCCACATGCAACTGGGTCACACCTCAGGCTACGCCTGCGTTACTGTGAGTGCATGCGAGTTTATTTGTGTGTAAGGTGTGAGGAAAAAGCTATTTGAAAATTTTCCACCTCCACGTAAGAGAAAGACTATGCTGTTTTCCACCCACGCTCAAAAGAAAAAGCCAGCTGAAATATTTTCACTGCTCTTATATTTGAACAAGATTAACTACCATGTTTGTAAGGAGTAGGTCTGATACAAAGAGTCACATACGCTCATGTCACACTACAGATGCAATGTTGCTCCTTTTTCTTTTCTGATACCGATGCTGAAACCGTGATGCTCCAGTATTTTTATTTCTTTTCAAAAATACGAATCTTTAAAACACCACAGTTGAGCCTCTTCCTGCAACCACTCTCAGATATTCCAGCAGATATTTTTGATACATATAATCAATAAATGTTTTTTCTTTGTAACTCAAATTAACTGTTGACTCTCTGTGTTGTAAAATGTTGTCACTCTGTGTTGAGCTGCTAGTGAGCAATGATGGGTGAAAGGGGAGGTGTGAGAACCCCCTGCTGTGAAAATAATTCACACCCCTCAACAAAGACGGCCGTGCCAATAAAACTGACAGCACGGCTGCCTCAATAAAACATAGCATTTAAACAATTAAACAATAAAAACAGTTTTAAAACACATCCTCTACAGGGAACAAACTTAAATATGACATTTTTCGGTAAATTATAATGCTCAGTTTCTATTTATTTGCTGAGTTTAACTTACTGGGGAAAAAAATAAAGCAGAAAATGAGCATGTGCTTATGGCATACTCCCGTCCCCCGGGCCCCAGCGACAGCCGCAGGAGCTGGCAGGAGGGGTGGCCCAAAGTCTGGGCGAGGACGAAGCCTTGCGAGGACGGCTGGGAGAGGAGAACCGCGAGTGAGTGGGGGACGCACGAGTCCTGCTCTTGCAGCCGTCATTGGGGCCTGGGGGGACAGGCGCATGCCATTGTGCTATATTTTTGCACACGGCACAAATTTATGTTTAATTTTTTTCGCACCGTATCACTGCTGTCGGAAGAAAACCTCATATCTCCAAAATGGTAACTTTACAGGAGAAGGAAAAAAACTACTTTAATTTTAATTTTAAAAGTCAATGGAACCAGAGTTTTTTCCCCAAGTCATTTTGAGCCGTTTCTTTTGGTCCATTCATCATAAAATTTACACACAATGTAAAGAGCAACAGGCATTTTCAGATTATGTCAAAAACTGAAAAATTGGAGTGGAGATACAAGGTTTTCTTCCAACGGCAGCGATGTGTTAAATTCAGCAAATAAACAGTAATTGTGCATTAAAATGTGCAGAACATTTTTCTGTACAGGCTGTGTATTAATTTTTATGTTTATTTCTAAACTCTTGCGTAGTTCAACCAAGCGACCTTCAAAACAGGTGGAAGTTGCATTTTATGGCTGCTGTGAAAAAAGGTTAATTTAAATGCTTCATTAAGGTACCAAAACTCCCCCATACCCCACAGGAAGAAATGCACAGCCAATAAAATCACAATAAGAAGTGCAGTTTTAGTATCAGAGTTAGCTGCTGATTCTTCGTATGTTTGTTAGACTACATGTGGCTACTGTTGTTATCAAATTACCTACTTTGCTTTAAGCTTTGTTGCGCTACTTGGAATTCCTTCGATGTCAGATTCAGCTCTCACTGCTGGTCTGATGTTGAGACTGGATATCAGATCTATGCCATCACTATACTTTGTGCTGCTGTGAAAGCTGTGTGAGTGCCCTGTAAGCCTGCAAGAGCAGGAACTGGAACAACTGACGAATTTCCCCCGGTGGGTCTGACCATGAGCATCAGTAATCAATTATAGTGTCAGGCTGGCCTAATGAGTGCTAATAGAGCTATCGGATCTTAATTGGGCGGCTCATATGCTGCTAATTGATAATCAAGAGAATGGGTATCAGGTGGTGAGAGGCTGGTGTTCAGCACAGAAGAGGGAGCTTTTATTTCTCTTTCTTCCAGGGTTCAATGTTCTGTTTTTAAAATCCAATTTAAGACTTTATTTTAAGCCAAACTCTTAAAGTTCCCCATCAGTCTTGGACATACAGTTATTGTATGTGTTGTTTAACATGTTGTACATCATAGAGATCAGCAGATGTGGGTGATGGCAGTGTATTTGGCCAAACTGTGTACACTTAATATGTGTGTGTTAGAGAGTCTCTTTGCTCATGGTCATCTGAAGGCTCAGGACTGTTGCACCGTTATCGATAGTATCGACCGATCGATACATTGATAGTGTGAGACGACAAGCAGCAGTAAAAACGCTCATGTCAGAATCTGTAATGCCACTTTTTGGCGTTAAGAATTCGCTGACGGAGCCGCTAACCTGAACAGCCGAGCTCCTTCTTTTAGTAGCCACTCATTTGCTGCTGTGTGGTCACTTACAGTCTGAGTTAATGCTATTGAGAAAGCGGAAGGAACCGCTGGACTCTTGGCGTAGTGATAGCAGTTAGCCTCGATTTAGCCTTTAGCATAGCAGCCCGCTAGCCGGGCATGTGTATCCACTAGCACCACCTGCAGTGCGCCTCCATCGGTCAGCTGTATCACTCAGCAGCGGGGTCTCACGGCCCGGCGCTTCAACCAAGCCGGAAAAAACACTGAAAGTCGCTGATATTGACAGCATGAACGATGGTGATATTTACTGAACTGATTCTCAGAGATGCAGCGCGAGTGAACAAGATGCACATATGAGACAAACGACTCAGGAAATTTGGATGTGAAACAACATTCATCTCCATTCTTGAGCCAGAGATGCTGCTTTGTGCTGATGTTTAAGCAACACAGGCTTATCTGGATACTGTTGAGCTCTGTTTTTAACTGTTTTGCACAATAAAGATTTTTTACTTTTACTTACGTCATTAAACATGGTTCTTATTACTAATTATGTAATAGGAAATACTAAATATATACTGAAAATAAACAAAAATAATAATCTTTAGCATCTAATAAATATAATCCAACAAGAAGATGAGTGTTTTATTTGTGACGTAGAACACAGATTTTACGAAAATAAAAATGTTTTTAAAATGTAATTGTATATATATCAGGACTTATAGGTGAGTTAGGTTAGATAGAGTTAGTATTGGTACTCAGTATCGGCCGATACTAAAGAATCAGGTATCGATATCGGTATCGGAAGGTAAAAAGTGGTATTGGTGCATCTCTAATGTCATCTACCTGTGTTTGTGTGTGTGTGTGTGTGTGTAGGTCTGCGAGCAGGTGATGAGATCCTGCAGCTGAACGGTAAAGACGCAAGTGTGTTGGAGTTGTCGGACATGAGGGCAGCGTTCTCTCTGCCCTCCCTCACCCTCACCGTCAGCACACTGCCCACGTCTGAGGCTGGCCAGCACTGCCCACTGCTGCCGCGTCGCTCGGATACACCACGCCACCTCTGTACAGACATCTTCTCCCAAAACCAAGGTACGATCATGACCTTCTGACCTCCAGCTCACTTCCACTCTGTACTTTATTCCTGCAGATGCCAGACACATAGTGAACATTACAGGATGAAGTGGATCAGATGTTTTGAGTGAATGTGATTTTCTCTGAGCTGTGTAAACACTATTTTTTCAAATTAAATTTAAGACACTTTTATTATAAGTCTAAAGGTTTAATGTATTGCATTGCATTGTATTGTATATTATACTGTGCATTAGCTTGAGGCTAATATATTAGGTTAGCTTGTGACTAGTACATTAGATTGGAGATAACATTAGCTTGTAGCCAGTTTGTTAGATGGGGTAACATGTACGCTTGCGGCTAGTGTGTTACATGAGGGTAACATAGTAGTTTGCGGCTAGTGTGTTACGTACATACATCATCTAAACTGCTTATCCTTCTGGGTCACGGTGGGGTGCTGGAGTCTATCCCAGCTGTCATTGGGCGGAAGGCAGGATACACCCTGGACAGGTCGCCAGTCCATCGCAGGGCAGACAGACAGACATACACATTCACACACAGGGGCAATTCAGCATGTCCAATCAGCCTGACTGCATGTCTTTGGACTGTGGGAGGAAACCGGAGTACCCGGACGAAACCCACGCAGACACGGGGAGAACAGGCAAACTCCACACAGAAATGACCCTGGTCACCCGGCCGGGAATCGAACCCAGGCCATTCTTGCTGTGAGGCGACAGCGCTACCCACTGCGCCACCGTGCCGCTGGCTAGTGTGTTAAAGGGGGCTAACATTAACATGTGTCTAATGTGTTAGATTGGGGGTATTATTTTAGCTTGTGGCTAGTGTGTTAGATTTTTTTGTTGAAAATATTTCTGACACTGTTAAAATTTATAATTATTCACTGAACTAATTTACAAAGGACATAGAAAGAAAGAAATAAAAGAAAAATAAGTAAATTGGATGTTGAGTGGAAAATGAGCGATTAAAAGTGTCGTTTTGCTGCTTAACCTTCAGTGGGCCGCCCAGTGAGCGCTGAGCAAAAATCCAGTGGACCACCAGCTTTGCTGTCAGCGGGCCAACAGTGGCCTGCTATCCCTTTGCTATCTGGCTTTAGATTCAGATTACACTCTTAACTTTTATATGTGGTCCTAGACATAGGCATGCGTGTCCGAAATCCAGATTTTGTAATCGTGCTTCAGTGCGCATGTGCACAGAGCATGTCATTGTGGTTATCGTCCTGTGTTGGCAGTGTGTTAGCAGCAACTCACGTGATGATAAAATGTTAAAATGTGTGCTTGGCAGAGGCGTTCACACTAAAGATGGATAAGGGTCACTTCCAAACATGAGTGTAAACCATCAAGGCAGAGGAATGAAACCTTAGCAAACACACTAAATTGAGCGCTGCGGTCACTGTACATAGCATGTGGGTATATTATATACATACATGTGACTTTTAATAATTTCTGCTTTTCTGGAGTTCAATAAATACATCACTGAATATTCCACCCTAAACGTGTTCATAGACCCATAAACTAAGCAGTGCTCCAAGTCCTTAGGTCCAGGATTTAGCCTGTGCCCCTGTCTACCCCCTTTAGGCTGAACATATCGTGACTAGTGGGCATTGCTCAATGCAAAGACTTTAATAGGTTTTCGCAGCACAAAGCTCTAATTTGTGGTTTCGCTGCCTTTGGAGGATTACTGAAATTCATCGGTAACTTCATTTACGCTCCGTTCGGTCCTTTTTGTGCGGTGTGTGGCTGGAACATGTGTATCCCTGGCAAAAAAGGATTCATTTTGCACACAGCTTACATTTGTTAGATTCGAGTGCCTGTGGGGATTAGAAGGCTATTAGTTATTAGACTGTACCTTTAACTGCGGCCCAAATCATTTTGAAAATGGACGGCGGACTAATGGAGTGTCTGCCAAATTGTGTATTTGGCAGAGCTCTCGGTTATGTCTGTTTTTCACCCATAATACCTACTGTAGTGTATTAAAATGGAACTTAGTCTGCATTATAGATCTCTGGAGAAAAATAAGCCAGCAATTCATTTCTCCTCTCTCTCTCTCTCTCTCTCTCTCTCTCTCTCTCTCTCACACACACACACACGTCCCTGCTCTCTTGCTCCCTCTAGAGGACATCCTGGATGAGGCCTCTGGGCTGGTGTTGGAGAGTCCAGACCATGAAGGAGTGGACATAAGGGCCAGTTTAGCCACAGAGAGCGCTGGAGACGGCCTGGGCGACGAGCCGGACGCTGAGACTGTACACAAGGTGAGACAGAGGGGAATTTAAGGAGGTTCTCAGAAATGCTGTGGTGGCATCGAGATGACACAAAGTCAAGAATGCAAAAAGAACATTATTGTCCATATGCAGTTGTCCATGTTTGTCCACATACAGCCATGTACATATACTGGAACCACTGTTCCTTCACACACTTGGTACAATGTACCTCACCACAAACTACCAGTTAACAAGTGAGCAAGTGAATAAGACATTGCCAAAACAAAGCATTGAACATAAGGACTCTAGTGCAGTTAGACGAGACAGTGTAGCACAATACGCTAAATTACAATACAGTAATTATTAGGCCTGTCACTATCAGTTATATTAGTAATCAAGTGATCTACTGATTATTTTGATGACTAATGGAGTAATCTGAGTTTTGGAAAGGGCAAACTATAAAAATGGATTTAACTGAACAATACTAAACAATACATGATGTTCCAAAGATTCCAAAAATCTTTTTTTTTTGGAAAAATAATGCCTTTAAAATACTATATTAAAAAAAATATAAAAACACTGTGAGACAAATAATGCATATACAAAACTTTGCAAAAGTTAGAGACCACCTTTCATTTAAGTCATCTGGGTTGGTCAGTCCATCAGGAAAACATTTCAATATTTATTTAATAGAAAATTTCACAGACGTCTCAACAACTAAATATATTTAAATTTTTTCGGTATTTACTGTGTCCACTTTGCCTTTATTACAGCTTCTATGCTTTTATTTCCAGTTTTTCAAAGAAGTCTGCAGGGATATTTTTCAGTCCAGTCTCAGTAGTTGGTTGCATTTTTGTTTCTCATGATCCAAGTAATTCCAAACACATTCAGTGATGTTGAGGTCTGGACTCTGGGGTGGTCAGTCCATTGTTCTGAGAACAGCAGCAGCTTCTCTGTTTGCACACTTTCTTCTTTTTGTCTGTTTTCTTTTCTCAGTAATGGTTTCTTGACAGCAGCACATCCTTTTAGACTCATAGCTTTGTGTCGTCTCCTCACAGTGGAAGGATGGACAGAAACACCTTTTAGATTTTGTTGACTTGTGAAGTCGTTATAGAAGTTATTGAGAATAAACCAGACAGAGTCGTGCACTTTTGAGAAGAAGGTTAGATTTATTTCAAGACGTCTTCATACAGAGATATTCACAGATCTCTGGTTGGTTTCTTCTCCCATTGGTGTTTGCAGGAGCAAACATCGATCGTACAGAGCGCTGTCACCCTCAGCTGGCCCAACCGGTTCCCACCCTAAGTATCAAGGTTGTGTACCCATGATAGAGAGGCATAGAAAAGTACAGAACATTCTAAGATGACGTAAAAGGGTCAGGCCCTTAGAGACAGAATGGCTATTTTGATACACAGAATAAGCGTATAGGAGTTAAACAATTAACCACAATCCAACAGTTTTCAGATGAAATTTTTTCTTTTCAGAAATCTCTTTTGAGAAATGAATAACTTGTGCATAACGGCTGTTGTGGCTGGAAATTCAGGTGGTCTCTGACACAGAACTGTTTATAAATGGGTGTATCAGGCTCGGGCGGCACGGTGGTGCAGTGGGTAGCGCTGTCGCCTCACAGCAAGAAGGGCCTGCGGCCGGACGGACGGGTCCTTTCTGTGTGGAGTTTGCCTGTTCTCCCTGTGTCTGCGTGGGTTTCGTCCGGGTACTCCGGTTTCCTCCCACAGTCCAAAAACATGCAGTTAGGCTGATTGGACATGCTGAATTGCCCCTAGGAGTGAATGTGTGTGTGATTGTGTATGTATGTCTGTCTGTCTGCCCTGCGATGGACTGGCAACCTGTCCAGGGTGTATCCTGCCTTCCGCCCAATGACAGCTGGGATAGGCTCCAGCACCCCACCGTGACCCAGAAGGATAAGTGGTCTAGATGATGTATGTATGTATGTATGTATGTATGTATGTATGTATCAGGCTCGGTTTCTTACTGTAAGAGAGATCAATAAGCGAATGTAAAATATTGTCACAGTTGGAACAAAACTTCTTTTCTGTTCCATAAAAAAAGTAATTTTAAAAACGTTAGTTGTCGTGTATAAATTTAATGCTGAATGGACCAATAGGAATGGCGTATGATTACAATCGAGTAATCATGACAGCCCTAATAAATATACAGTAAATACACATAATGCCACCCAACAATGCCTACTGTATACACGGAACAGGACAGTATAACACGGACAGCAGTGCAAACCTGACAAATCCAATTAGTCACAGAGCTGTATGTACCTGTTACTGAGCGTAATGAGCTACAGGTCAGTGGGAACGCACCTCAGATTTCGCTGCACTGGAAAGAAGCTGTTATGTGAGTGTGCTGCATTTGATCAGCACCACACAATACAAGATCACAGAGTCCTGCTAGTATGATAGTATCATTATCAGTCTATTCAGCTGTGCTTCAAAGCTGGACTTAGTGTCACTACCTGTAGCACATGTTGCCATGTTGTCTGTGAGGCTGGTGGTTCAGTTTTCACCTGACCCAGTTCAGATTCACGAGAAGTGTCCTACAGGTGTGTTACAGCCTGTACTCTCCCATCAGCGACCTGACTGAAGCACAATGGGACCATCTCCTGTTACACATCATCATAGACGCCTGCAGAGTGTCCTCTTGGGCCACAAGTTGTTGTGAGCTGTATGAGCGCATTGCTGAGGCCACTGCTGCTAATATTTCAGTGAGGTTTCACTTACATAACAAACACACAGTCTCAGGCACATGTTGAGGTCGAGTGTAACTTCATTGGAGTTTGTATTGTGGCCTTTACTGGTTAATTCCATTGATTTGTGTTCTACTGGCCCTGCGATGGACTGGCGACCTGTCCAGGGTGTTTCCTTGCCTTCCACCTGATGGCTTCAGCTCCCTCAGTGACCCAGAAGGATAAGCAGCTTAGAAAATGTGTGTGTGTGTGTGTGTGTGTGTGTGTGTTTGTGTGTGTGTGTTCTACTGTAGCGAAATAATGCTAGTAATGATGCTAATAATAATGCTAAAGCCAACCTTAAATTCAGTGAAGGGAAGGAAATCTTTTGGGTTGCTTACTTTTTCAAATAAAGGTAAAAAGTAAAAGTATTTTTTCTCAAATGTTGAACAAAATGTCCCTCAACATTTGAACAAAATTCCTCTCAAAATTTTGACGATTTTCCTCAAAAGTTTGACAACATTTTCTTAGGGTTGCGGCATTCAGGATTTTTTTTACTGGCCGATTCTGATTTCAGCTCCTTTAGAGACAAATTGGCCGATTTCTTTTAGACTTGATTTTAGACCCAAAGTTCACACTGTGTGGATTAAATGAACATGTGAAGTACATTAGCACATTTTTAGTACTTTAACATAGGAATCGTGATGAGTTAATGTTATATATCACTGCTGTTGGAAGAAAACCTCATATCTCCATTTTTGTCGTTTTTCAGTTTTTGACATAATCTGAAAATGCCCACTGTCCTTTACATTGTTTGTAAATTTCATGATGAACAGACCAGGACAAACAGCCCAAAATTACTTGGAAAAAAGTCTGGTTCCATTGACTTACATTAAAAGTAAAGTATGTTTTTTCCGTCTCCTGTAAAGTTATCATGTTGGAGATACGATGTTTTGTTCAGTAGCGATATGCAGAAGAAAAAACATTCTTTGCTCTCTAATGAGCAAAATTGGCTTTTTAAGTGCTTAAAAGAAACATGAGTTGCCTTTTTAAGATCCCATATCACATAAAACTCGATTTTCCTTGCTTTTTTGAAATACAAGAGTGTGATGTAATATGCAAACACTGTTAAAAATTGTGTGTACAGTCTGCATGTGTAAACTATGTTATGATGTCACCAAAAAAACAAACATATTTACATAGGGTACAGTGAAAAGATTTTAGGCACCTGAGAAGATATAATAATACGTCATAAGACACAGAATTGACAAAACAAAAATAATAAATTCAGTGATTGGATGCATGGAGCAAAAATCTCTGTTATTCTGGAATGCTGGTCCCTATAAAGTAGTAAACACACACACACCAGCTCTGAGCACTGAATTATGGTGATGATGCAGTTGTGTGTCCTGTTGAGGTCATCTGGATCAGAATTGAATGTGTGGTCAGTCATGCAAGGACACAGGCAGATACACACTCTGTCTCTCGCTCTGTTTCACTCTCGCTCTTGCGCTCTGAGAGAAATGCTCTTGTTTAAACCTGCTGGATAGAATCATTTGCTTTTCTCACAGACTAAACAGAGAGAATGTGTGTGTGTGTGTGTGTGTGTGTGTGTCCATTTCTAATTAAGATGAAGTCTCATTCGATCTCGCTCAGCGGGTTTGATTTGTCTCCGTCTGGGTGCAGTGGCCAGACTAGAGTCGCCATGCTTGTCACCTTGATTACCTGAAGCTCCGCTTAAAACTGACACCCGTTTCCTTCCGTTTAATTGGCTGTTTCACAGATCGCATCATAAAGTCCCACAGAAAGCTGCTGCTACATTCACTGAGGAGCAGAGAGTCGGTGCTGAAGTGATGTTTTCATGCTCAGTTTAGCCTTTTGTCTCATAGATTCACAGGTGAGCAGGTCAGAGATCAGAGTTCAGGGTTTTACTAGTGAAATTTCACCCTCGCAGGTTCACGGCTGATTTCACTCTTTTTTACTTCGCTCTTTTGCTCTTCCTGTTTTTCTTTCTGTCATTTTCATTTTCTCTCTCTCTCTGTTTTCTCTCTCCTTCTCTCTGTCTTAGCTTCCTTTCTTTCTCAGTCTTTCTGTCCATTTCTTGGTTCCTCTCTCTCTCTCTCTCTCTCTCTCTCTCTCTCTCTTTAGCTTCCTTTTCTTTCTTTCTTTCTTTCTCTCCTTCTCCCTGTTTTTCTTTCTCCCTCTCTTCTCTCTCTCTTCTCTCTCTTTCTCTCTGTCCCTCTTTCTTTCTAGCTCCCTTTGTCTCTCTCTCTAGTTTCCTTTTCTTTCTCTCTTTCTCTCTCTCCTTCTCTCTCTCTCCCCCTCTCTCTCTACCTTCCTTTATTTGTCTCTCTTT